AATCTTCAACTAGCTAGCTTCATAACCATCATTTCCTGGTAGAGCACAGGCCTTGTTGAAAGGTTACAACTCAAGGAAATACCCTATTTCTTTGCTTTTCTGTTTCTCTTGTTGGACTAGGCGCAAAACGTTATTGAAAGAATGTTTTATACAAAGAGAGGAAAATAAAAATACAGGAGTGTTGTTATATGATGAGGAAATGCTGATCAAAGCTGGCCTCCTTTAATAAATGTGCATGCAGCACATTGACTTTGGCCACAGCTGTGCATTGTTTTGTTTCATCAAATCATTCTCCTTCATGAAAATATTACCTGTATCCTTTCTTGCTTTTTTTCTTTTTTAAATAAAATTTTATTACAAAATACAATATATGGACTTCAAAATCTCTGTTAATTTCAATCACTGACTGATTTTACTCACAATACTCCCAAATAAATCTGATATTTTTTACCAGAAACCCTATACAAAGCAGTCTTTAAAGAAAGGAGTAGTCAGGACATATTTCTCCCCTGAATTTTGAGTAATAAAGACACTTGTGTTTACATCTGGCTGCCACAAATATCCAAGATATTCCTTACAAGAAAGCTACTAATAATCTCTCCTTTTCAGGAGGTGAGAGAACCAAGGACCCAGAAACATTTTTCAGTGCTAGGCCTTGCCTCCCATGGAGTTAATGTCTCCTCACTCACCTGCCTCCCCCCCACCCGCGCCTCCGCCTCCGCCTGCTGCTTGGACAGGTAATCAATTCACCTGCGCTGCACAGGCTGCACAGCCCCAGAATGTGCCGGCCAAGGGGCCAGCGGGCTCTGGCTGCTGTTGGACACCATTGGCCCCCAAGTGCTTGCCGTCTCTTTGCGCGTACTGGGGTGGTGTGTCCGGCTGGGCTGATCACCCTGATACCATGTTTCCCTGAAAATAAGGCCTAATGCGTCTTTTGGAGCCAAAAAAGTATATAAGACCGGGCCTTATTTTCAGGGAAACACGATATTTAATTATTGGCAAAGCTGATGAGGAATGTGGGACCTGCAGTCTTAATATATCTGAAGGGTGTCAGCTTGGAGAAATCTTCCTTAACGGATCAGAGCTTCTTGGTATATAAATTCCTACAAGGAAGATCCTCTGAAGATAAAAAGTCTGAAAACCACTTCCACTATCTTGAATGGGAATTAAAGAATATCAAAAATGTTGTTTTAGAAAAGGAGACTGTTAACTAATGTTATCTTCAGGAAGACACAAATGATTATAGAGTACTTTACTCGGGAAGCAACTGCAATTCAAGTGTCCCAAATCAGACTGGCATTGGAGAGCAGTTTTTTCTTTTATATAAAAAATGTTTCAATATTTGAAAGCAAGTTCAACATACATAGTCCAAAATAAATGTCTATGAAGAAGAAAAACTGTAGCTTATTAGTAGGGACCCATACTTTGGACACCACCAACACCAAAGACAAGATTCAATTTCTAGTTAGTGTAGGCTATACCCAGCAAAGTGAAACAACATGACTTGTTAAAATATGACAAAATGTAAAAAAAAACAAGGAGAGGGAGAATAGGGATATCTTATGCTCACTAGATATCAGATAAAGTTTGTGATATACCTAATCTACATGCTTGATGCCACCATGTGGCAATAGCTTGTATTTATATTTGTGTCTTTAGTAGAAAATAACACCCTTTTTTTTTTTTTAAAGACATCAGCACACAATTCTATGTAATGCTTGTGATTCCCAAATTAGGCTGAACTGTAAAATAGCATCATGGCTAGAATTTAAAGGGAAAGACTGGGGAGAAGAATTTTAAAAAGATGCAGGACAGAGGTATCAGAAGGTAGTTTTCTCACAACAAAAGGCAACAAGAATGAAGAAAGTCATTTGACGTCTCAGCCTTTCTTCCAACTTTTAGTACAACTCTGGGAAAAAGCTGGAATAAGAGAATTACTGATGCAAAGTCACCCAGTGAGATTTCTCAGCTGACAATGGCCTTGAATAGGGAATCTCCAATCCAGATACACACTATAACTAACACACTATGTTAGCTCTCATTATTATTAAGGCAGCATTATTAATTGTAATTATATTGCTACATAAGGTCTATGGAGACTCTCACCATCCAGTCAAAGCTGAAGAAGCTTCTTGGATGAGAAGCGAAATGTCTTCAAAGAAAAACAAGAAAAAGTTGCCAGTTGCCTCTTGAAAAAGCACCTTTGAGACAACCATGACCTGGATGACTGAGAATCTCCATTTAGCTATGCAGGAGTATGAATAGATTTCCAGAAAACATGCAGACTACAGGAACCATTTGCACTTCAGTTTGAGATGCAGACAACACAGACTTATCCCCAACAGCCTGCACCTGTGTTCAATAGTGAAAGTACACAAGGCAGAAAACATCCTGCAGAAAGCAGTTCCACAACACAGTCCTTTCAGCAGTTCCAAAAAGGCTCCACACCCATTTGTACTACTCAGGTGACCCTAAGGACACAGACAAACCTCCAAGTGGCCTCAACAACTCTCTAAAAAAATGCAAATGACCAGCTGTCTGCAAGGAATATAAATCCTTCCATTCCTCACCATTCAGTCGAAGCTGAAGAAACTTCTTGGATGAGCAGTGAAATGTCTTCAAAGAAAAACAAGAAAGTCCAATTGCCTCTTGAAAAGGCATTTTTGGGACACTACTACATAATGTTACAAAAGCTAGAATAGATTAGATACTGGAGTAGGACTGGAAAGATTCAAGTTCTAGTACCCCCTTAGGCATGGAAGCAAGCTATAGAATCAAGTTGACCTTGGTCCAGCCATTTCTTCTCAGTTTAAATCAATGCCAAGCTCTGCAATAAGCAACTGATAAAGAAACCCTCTCATTATATCATGGATTAATAGCTTCACCGCAAAAATTAGGTGAGTACAGTCTTAAGAAAACAGGCCCTACAATCACACAGAGCAAACAAGTAAGAGGACGACTATTAGTATAGCATAGTATTTTCCTAGGTAGTATCAACAAATTGAATATACTGTTACTATACACTTTCAGAATATGAGCAAATACAAATCTGTCGTCTGGGACAATATGCCCTCAGATGTTTCTATGATGTTTACCTTACTAGCCTTTAAAGAAAGCATTAAAGCATCTTCTATAACTTTTATTATACTGGTTCATAACTTAATGAAGTTGGATAGATCTTCTGCTCTCTTTCTGCTGGTGGATGGGAACTATTTTTGCACAATTAGTTTGCTGAGAAACTTGAGACACCCAAAAATATTACCTTTCAGTTATCAATTCATATTCAGTGGAACCTATTCTCTTATCCCCTGGAGAAAAATAGAACACTTTGCCTTGAGCACCCTCCTGTGGGCTCAGATTAGAACTTCAAGAAAGGGTTCTTTACATTGTGTCATAATAAATCTTGCTTTATATGCTGGGAACGATGTAGCTTCCCTCATCTTAAGCTTTACTTCTCTTTCTGATTATTCATACTGGAAATTTGTTCTTAATCATGTGAAATAATCATTATATGAAATAAAGTAACTTCAAGTTATGATTTATAAGGTTTTTTTTCTACAAACCAAAAAGAAACAATACTATAGGCTCCGAACTATTGCTAAGTTGTGGTTAAATAAAATTGGAAATAAAAGCTTTGAAATTTTCATTGTAATACCCAAATGCAACTGTGGGGAGAAAATAAAGTTCCTGCTGAATCATATGTGAGCAAGAGTTTTTAAGGTATGTCAAAAACAGACATAGAGCTAGAATTTTACCTATTGAAGTTATGGTACCGTATTTTCCGGCGTATAAGACAACTCGGCGTATAAGATGACCCCCGACTTCGGAGAAGATTTACATGGTTAGAAAGTCGTCTTATACGCCAGAGAATACGGTACTTTCCGGCGTATAAGATGACTCAGCATATAAGACAACCCCTGACTTCGGAGAAGATTTGCATGGTTTAGAAAGTCGTCTTATGCGCCCAAAAATACGGTAGTTAAACTTGTTAGTCAGAAGTTCCTTGCTGCAAATTCCCACAGAGGAAGAGTTAATACATAAAATATTAGCATGTGCGGAAATGGACAGGCTCACAATGATATTAAAAGATAAATGTGGATCAGTTTATTATGAAACCTGGGATAAATTTTACCGCTGGAGGAATTTGAAGAGGACAGTAGGGTTTAAAGACGAATGTTAAGATAGAAATATATGTTATTTTAGAACAAATATTGTATATAAAACTTAGATGTATATGTAGAGGCGAAGAATTGATTGTAAAAAGTGGAATAATCTGATAAGAATGTATATACTGGAATGTCACATCAAATCCAATGTTTGTTGTTTTTAATTGTATTATAAATGAAATTTGAAAAAAAATAAAAGAAGTTCCTTGCTGCTAGCAAAAGCCACTGGACTGATTTGGGAAAAAAAATAATTCTGTCAGAAGCCTCATCTGCTAAACCTGCCTCAGAGGAATAGATCAGAGAGTAAACAGCAATCAGGGATTATTTCACCCTAAGTAGAGACCACCTTTTCCCCCTATCAGCTGGTACTGCCAAACTTATCAGAGGGAGAAGTCCTTCTATTGCATTCTGATCTTCAACCTGCTAAATTTTGTAACCAAGAATCCTCCTTTTAATGCCTTACTTGCTTTCTCTTTTCCTTTTGCATGCTGACTTTTAGACTGTTAGCCTATAAGTACTATTTCTGTTCTTTATAAGCTTTTCTATTTCAATAAAGAAAGAAATGTAAAGTGGCCCAGGATTGGTTTTCTATTTCCTTTAATATCCAATTATTTAATTACAATTCAAACGTGCTGCATAGAGCACGGGTGTCAAACTCGCCACGTCATGTGACATGTTGCGACGTATCACAACTCTTTTTGCATTGCCGGCAATGGGGGGGGGCACGGCTTCAGTATGATGAAACCGGCCTGTGGGCCAGCAGTTTGACACCCCTGGCATAGAGGGTAAAGGCTTAAGTTACTAAAATAAGTGTTAATATAAATGAGATCATACCTTGAACTCCTTCTAAAAGCAGATCAACTCCTTTTCTGTAAAAGCCAAATGCAGCTTCATAATCTTCCTCTTCCTCCTTCTTCAAGGCCAGCTTTATCAGTTCTCCAGCTTTGTCCAAGTAATCTCTTCTGCCAAGCTTGGCCTTCAAGCTCCCAGTGAATAAACCCCGGCTCTCCCTCTCATTCTCAGATTTGATCCATTCCTGATCTAAAATGGCAGATGACAATACTGGATGTTCAGCAGCAAAGCTGAGACCAAGCAATGTGCTGGGGGAATCCTGGTTAGATGCCATTCCATCATCTAACTCAACAAGAGAATCTGCATCAATGGTCAAGGAAATCAAATCACTGTCGCTGGATAAACCTGTAGGGAGACAAAAGAATGGAGAGCATTTATCCTCTAAAGCAGACATGTCAAACACAAGGCCCGGGGGCCAGATACGGCCCGTGAAGTGGTTTCATGTGGCCCATGAAGCCATCCTGGAAACAGTGAGGGAACGGCCCCTACTGCCTTGGCCCTGGCCCAGGCTGGCTGAGAGCCAATGTACAATTTTGTGGTGGCCATCTATGCTGAAATTCATTCAGTCTTAGCTCCACAAGGCCATCTGGAAACAGCAAGGAACCAGCCCCTGCCGTGTCGGCCCCACCCCCTGGGTGCATGCTGGGGAGGTGTCACCCTTTATGAGGAATGAAGAAATGCACCATCGCCTGGAAGTGGCCAGCAAATGGCCCTTGCCTACTTCACATATCCAGCTTGATGGGCTCCGGCGGAGGAGTTTCAGTAGGCAGTGAGGCTCCTCCAGTAGACCATGCCTTGGCACTTGCCCCGGTCCCACCCCCTTCTGCCAGAGACCCTCAGATCTGTCTCACTCCTGCCCAGGCCCCCACAGGCACCCTTAACGCGAACGATGTAGAGCTGGCCATGCCCACCCAATAGGCCACACCCAGCCAGTAGGCCACACCCAGCCAGTAGGCCACACCCAGCCAGCCCTCCTGAGGGCAACCGCAATGCTGATGCGGCCCTCAATGACATTGAGTTTGACACCCCTGCTCTAAAGAAACCCTACTAGAAAGTCTTGATTTAGAAGGTAAGTAAAAGAAGTATCCATGAAAGCCACAGATCACTGCCTCTAAAAAAGAGAGTGGTCTTTCTTTTATGTGGTAACTAGGATAATAGATGTGATGTACTTTGAGCCCTCAGTAAAGTGTATCATAAACACTAATGATGATGAAGAATGTTGATGAAGATCATACAATTTATAACTTGTTTTTGTACAACCTATTCCACTGGTGAGTAAAAAATTAGTACTCTGCTAGGTTAAATTAAAAGTTAATCTAGTTGAATTTTTAATTCATGCTATGGCTCAAGAACAGCCCACTGGAGATTGTCACTCAAGCTGTCCAGCAATTAATTTTGAGAAACGTATGGCTCCAGAGGTAGAGGTAATATACAGGCAACATGTCTTTTAATCAGCCACAATTTTTCCTGTTAGGATTTATTTAATTTCCTTCCAAATCATTATAGGTCAGTGATTATTATAAAAAAAAACTTGGGATGCAACTTCTATAGTTCCATGTGAGGAAATGCTTCTTTTTAATCTGTCCCAAATCTCCTAACATTGGATTTATTGGATGAATCCAAGTTCCAATTCAATGGGAAAGGAATACAATCTTCTTTATCCATTTCCATTATTGTTTATATTATGCAGAGCATACACTTGCTGATGAATCCTTTTTTAATCTAATCTAATAAATCTCAGTATAAATGTCTAAGAAGATCCTCATATACCCAGGTCATGGTTGTCCCAAAGGCGCTGTTTAAAAGGCAACTGGACTTTCTTGGGGGGGGGGGGTCCCTTGAATTGAAGAAGCTTCTTGGATGAGAAATGAAACGTAATCAAGGGAAAATAAACCAAGAAAGTCCAGTTGCCTTTTGAACAGCACCTTTGGGACAAGTCTCAGTGTAATATTTCCTCATAAAGGAGTGCTAGATTTGTTTTATTACAATTTCTTTCTGAACAATTAAAGTACAGTTGGCAGAACTATACTTTATCTGTCTATATTAGTCCAGGTTGTTTTGATAATATTTCAGAGTGCTGAACCAACCCATACCTCATATTTCTTCTTCTTCAGTGTTCCTCCAAGAGATTTGGCTCCTACGTTGTTGAGTAACATAATTTTCTCAAAGTACATAATGACATTTAATAACTCATCTTTCTTTTAGCAAGTAGATAAAATGTAGCAAGCGGGTGAATAACACTAAAATAGTCCCCATTGCTTGGAGATTTATAATTTTCATTCCTGTTTAGAGCTATTTAGAGCTCATTTGTAAATAAATCAATGGAATACAGTCAAAATGTCATTGAGGATTTGAATAAGATGCTGATTTGTATATCAATTCACATTCAGTGGACAACTTATTTTATTGCTATAGAGTAGAACTGGTGTAATATTTGAGCATTCCAAAAATTCTCATACTGAAAGTGCAAACCAGATGAGCATCACGCAAAACTCAGATTAAAAGAACCTGAAGTGGCACAGATTAAAAGTGAAGTGGCACAACTTGAGACTGAAGTCAAAAATCTGGTAATCCTCCAGTTCAAGTCTTACTTCTGCCAAAAATGCATTTGGTGATCTTAAGCTGGAAGAGATGAGCAATAGTTTAACAGAAAAACCAATGTTTTGCACATAAAATGTCTCAGGTTATAGCAGCTTGCTCACTCTCTCTCTGAAACTGCAACAAATCAGGATCAATTATTTATGATCATTCATGCCCTTGTAACTCTCATCTATGTTGCTACAGTTTGCTTTACATGGGGCTGCCCTTGAGGACTATTCAGAAATTATTAGCCTGTATGTCGATGGGTTCTGTCTTGTTCTCCATGTGATACCATTACTGCAGGAGCTGCCTTGATTACCAATAAGATCCAAAAGCAATCCATTGTGTTGGTGCTCCTCAAAAAGCCCTAGTAAGGTTCAAAACTGTATGCTGCAAGTGGAGTCTACCCTAAAGGGGCCAGTGCATTATGGGTGACTTCTTTTTTGAATTTAAATAAACTGAATTTAAATAAACTGAATTAACCTAAACTGCTCAATTTACTCCATTCTTTCTTACCTCCATATTCTGTCTGGCTAAGTGTCACTTCATCAAGGACACCAATATCCTTCCGAACTGTAGAAACAAAAATGAATGCCAGTGTTAATTACACATAGGTTTGAAATAGGACAGACTCACTGCAGCTGGAAATTCTAAAAAAATGTTGGGGGAAGGGCACAGTTTGTTGGGTAAATGAGATCTAGAAAAATATAAACCGTTTTATTCTAAAAGCCTAAATCAGCTTCTCTCAATCATTCACCCTTCAGATGTGTAGGATCTCCAACTAACCTGACCAACAGCCTACACTGAAGATGCACCACAATTCCATAAGCGTTTAGATAACTGATCTGTATTTTCCCCTGGTGTTCTTGTTTTCATCTGGTCTCTATTTCTTTTAAGATTTTATATTGTGTTCTACCACATTTGTGAATTTACACCTGAAACCTCATTTGATGAATCCCCCGAAAGAGCACTGGCTATTGGATGATCTAGAAATACACCAAAAAGCTGATTATAAAAAGGATTTCACAGTTTACAGTCAGAACATTAGATTAAAAATTATCTGAACAGTTATTGCTACAATAGCTATTATTTCATCATGGTTTCTGCATAACAGAGAAAACAAAACCAGGAAAAATTTATCACTTTCACAATCAAGAAAATCAGAATTTAAATATAATGCTGCCATCTAGAGGAGATGAAGATTAAGAGGCCATAAGAAGTTGTTACCAAATCTAATTTGAATGTGACAGAAAGACAGGAAATGTGAAGGCATGACTGAAAAGTATTGACATATTTTATTGTTTTCTTCTTATAGATCCTTTCTTTCTGTCCACTGGTCACTTGGGGAAACAAATAAAGAAACAATATATCAAAATAGTTAAAATTCCAATTTAGATTTAATCCTATTTTGGAGAAATAGGTGTCCAGCTTGCCACTCAAAAGCCAAGAAAACAATTGCATACTATACTAAATCAGGATTGTTTCAATCTCAGCACAACAAGGAGATCAAGTGCCCAAAACATGCCATATAAAATTCCTCAACTGCCTTTCCCAAAAATAAAATTACTATGTGTGTGTTTTTCAAGAAACTATAGTTTTAAAAAACCTGGAGCTAGATTACAGAAAGTAAGAAAAGAGAGCCAACCTTCAAAACTGCAGGTAGATAAGCTGTCTATCAGAGAGTCCACCAGAGGTTCTGCAGGACCAATCAATTCAGATCCATCATGCACCTCTCCATCCTTAAAACAGACAGAAAACAATACATGTATATGGCTACTTTTCCCTATGGATCAATGTAACTTTCACCCGGGGGGGAAAAGTTACACGAAAAATATGATCTAAAACACTGTTCCCCAACTTGGCCAGAAACAAGCACTGTTGAGAATTCTGGAAGTTGAAATCCATATTCCAAGTTGGTAAAGATTAGTTTTATATTCTTTCCAGATTCAGTCTAAGTATACACTGAAAGAAAGAATAGTCAATAAATAAAAGTATTCCTAAATCAAATTAACTGATTCACAACGTGTTCCAGCTGACATATATTCCTGTCCTAGAAAAATGATATTGAACACCGCCATCTGTTTTCAAGAAGATATTATTTTAAAACACAATATTAGCTTTTAGGATAAAACAGATTTTTAAACCCGAGAGACATTCTAGCTATACACAAAATTCCTCAAAAAGGGTTAGAATTTCCTCACTAAACAATCTGCATGGATATATCAAATAGTTCATAACCCACCATATCCCCTGCCCCAGCTGCTAGAAACAAAAGAAAGCTATCTTATCTTAAATTAACTTTCACCATGTTTTAGTTTGATACCTCTCAAACTAAAACGGCTCCCCTCTAGAAAATATCTCTGCTGGTTTTTATATCAGCTTAGCAGCCTTATTCTTGTTGTACCAATTTAATTGTTACACCCATAATTATAAATTATAAATCATAATTAACCCGACTGTAAACCTGCCATAAACATAATGTTTACCAGTCACACAAAGGTTGTGGTTTCTCCGTCAGGTTCATAGAAAAGATATTTTGGCTTCTCAACACAATTCGAATGTATATGATACAGCTGAGCTTATGCAACTCTGGATCTGTTTAGTGCCTAGGCAAAGCCTGGGTTCTCCATGCCTGGCTCCCTAAGACCTCACGGAAGAAACACTGGATATACGTAAACAAGCTTCCCTCACCACACTTCACAAAATGAAGTTAGCCAACGCCAAATGGATCAGATCTAGGCTGCAAAAATCTGCATGGCTATAAATAATAGCAAAGAGGTACAGAATACCTTTATGCTTTGCTGCCATCTTAGTGATGCCTGGATATTTGCAGCCGTATCTGGCAGTATATGCCTATTATATAGAAGTTTGAGTGTCTACAGGGAAGATCAAGGAGGAACAAATGACAAGTACTTAATGTGACAGAAAGACATAATTTACATTTTCACATTATCGTGATTTAATCACCTTATTGTATGTGCATTGCCACACTCACATCATTTTTGTTCGCTGAAGAGACCGCTTAATAGAATATCAGCAATGTGCAGTTACTAATCTACTAATCTAAGACACTCTCTTTCCTTCCAAGTGTACCAATATCGTATTTAAGGCAGAAGACAGTAGCAAAGCAGAAGCTGTTTGTCTATCTAATATAATCTATATGGTACTTTATTCATTTGTTTCACAACATTTGTATACTGTCCCAATCCAAAATTCTCTGGGTGCTCTTCATTCTAATAAAGTACCTTTTTGTTTTATATCATATAGAGAATTATTTGCAATAGTAACTACTAATTTAGCCTGAGTAAGTGGTTGCAGATGGGAGTATGAGAGAATGAAGATTTTACACACACACACACACACACACACACACACACACACACACACGATTGATTTGATTAATTGATTGATTGATTGGCATACTATAGAGAATCTGTTTCAACCTTAGACCAATCCTAAGATCTTATCATTTGCAACTTCACTGTGTAGATGGGAAATTGCTATGGACAGCTGCCCTTGAGCAAATGTAATAATACATTTTCCTGTGATTTATGGTAAACTGCATTTGTACTGATTTTTACAGAGCAACAGCACTATGAACAAGTATTTCACTCACACAGTGAAATGAAATAATTTATTAGATGGGCTAGCTGAGAAAGATTAACCTTAAAGAAATCTTCAAGCTGCTTGCTATTATAGAGCATGGGGATGTTGGCAGAAAACTGAAGCAAATCTTCTGCGCACTGTCTTCTCTCTTCAATCACACCTTCTTCAAATCGCCCTGAAACATGAACAAAATCAACATTATGAGAAACAAATCATTTTTTTTCTGACAAAAATCCTTTATGAGAAAAAAAAAAAAGCTTTGCATCTATGAAGTCACACAACTGCTTCAGGAGACAGGGTCAAATATCTGAGCTCAAATGTTCCAGAATGTTTTACCGTCTATTGATGATATATATAATTTGCCAGCCCTAATGGAATGTAAAGCTCCCTTTTATGAGAACACATTGATTAGCCGATGAAACACTAAATATATACCATCAATATCAAAAAATAAATGAGATAGAGCTAGTCACATTATAGATATCTACTCTGTACTGTGCCCATGTCAACCCTAATCCCTTATGGTTGCAGACTTCAGTTATTTGGTTTATACTAAAAACAAAGACTTGGATTTTGAATTTTTCTTCACTGAACACCATACATATGACAGTCTTGCTACTAGAAGAAAAAAAAAGGCAAGTTTTCTTCCTTCCTCCCAAAGGTCTGTTCTCTTTAGATTCAATGGGGAGTGCAGAAGGATTACAACTTTCATGAGAAAAAGACCATTCCGTCATTGTATTATCAATGGACGGGCCTTCTACCCCTCCCCCCAAAGGACACGTGAGATTCAGGAAGCCATAATACAGATAAAATGTGATAATACAGACTGGGTCCAGGTTGGCAAAAGAGTGCAACAAGGCTGTGTACTCTCGCCTTATTTAATCAACCTATCTGCAGAATAAGGGAAAATAATTATTTGTATTACATTAATATGTTGAATTAAGGGAAGCTGGATTGGAAGAAGACGAGCATGGTTTTAAAATTGGTGGAAGTGACATCAATAATCTGCATTGATCAAGCACATAAGCAGTGCTTGAGCAGAATTGTCTGGGATGCTACACATTCTCTTCACGACCTGTTTTCTTTGTTACCTTCTGGGAGCAGGCTTCGTGGTATCCGAAACAGAACTTCCAGATTCAGTCAATTTTGTTCCATATAGCATCAGACTTGTATATATATGCACAAGTGTGTGTGTGTGTGTGTAGCATGTGTATGTGTGTGTTATGTATGTGTATGGGTAGATTTATACTTTCTTTTGAGAACAGGCAACAGAATTTCATTTTTAATATGGACTAGTATTCGCACAGTAAAAAATGAGCCAATGCAGTCCGGGACAATCCCAACACCCCAAGGTCAAACACTGGGAAAACTCTGAGCTGCTCATAATGTTCCCATAACAAAATGAATACTACTGATTGGTGGACAACGAAACATGGGGAGGTCCAGGGGAAAAAGGGGATTTTACCTATGCTGGTTTTCGCGCGAAATCTTTAGTACTAGCTGTGCAACTTCTATGCCTATATGGAATTATTAGTAAAGTTATACTCTTGGTAAAATAATGTCAGAGGAGTTTCTTTTGCTGCATTTACAAATGGGACAGTTGACAGTGTATTAAAAGAACTGTGCACTGGCAGAGAATATATGTCACTTCATTTTCTTCAGTTAGAAATAGCCAAGATGTGAATTTTGTAAAAGGGCTTTTATCACAGGGAGAAAGGTGTGGACTGTATTGAGTCCCAAATGACTTAGGACCTTTAAATGTTACTTGGTGCTTCAACGGGTGCTAAACTAGACACTTAACAGACTGGTCAAATCTCATGTTTTCTGGCAATATTTCTATTTGAGAGAGAGAGAATGCCATTTCAGCTGGATAGTGATAAAGGTCAATTCATCCAGCTGCTTTATCCAATGAGTGAAGCGAAAGGGAAAAGCAGACTGGCCTTCATCAGTCTACCAAGAGCTGATTTCCTTCTCTCCTTATAGTGACTCTCAAAAAGGGAAGATCAGCTAGCCTGGCAAATGCAATGTTCATTTAAAAAGAGGCAGGAAGCAAGAGTTCAATTACATTGTTGTAGCTGTCCCTTGGTTGGTTGGTTTTTTACTCCGGCTTTGTAAATGCTGACTCTAAAACACCATCCAGAGGAAGTTGTCTCTTGTCCTTCTCATTTTGCTGGTTATTAAAGTGTGTTTTCACAGGAAGGCTTTGAAACTAAAAATCATTTTTAATCAAACTTGATACAGAGATCAAGCTAAGGCATGTAAGCCACAATTGGTTGGGTTCACACATCTTATGAAGCTCAAATCAGCTACACTATAGCTTAGCACACTCTACTTCATTGCATTGTTCTTTTAAAGCAGGGGTCTTCACACTTGGCCCTTTTATGACTTCAAATCCCAAAATTCCTCAGCCAGGCACACACTGGCTGAGGAATTCTGGGAGTTGAAGTCCACAAGTCATAAAAGGGCCAAGTTTGAAGACCCCTGTTTTAAAGACTCACTGTATTTATTTCTCTTTTGTTTTGCTACTTTAGTGTTTTACTACTATTTTATCAATTTAATTCACTTTTGTTGATTGCCTTGAACAAAGCCGAGGAAAGACAGTATATACATATTTTAAATAAACAACCTTGACTTGACTACCTTGACTACATCTATTTTCATTATGTCCAATATTGGATTACCAGTTTAGTTTGGGCATTGTTAACTATGGTTTGGACCAATTGTAAAATAAGATGAGACTACAACCTAGAATTAAGGAGAAACTTCCTAACAGTGAAGACAATTAACCAGTGGAAGTTGCCTTCAGAAGTTGTAGGGGCTTCATCACTGGAGGTTTTTAAGAAAAGACTAGACAGCCACCTATCTGAAATGGTATAGTATCTTCTGCTTGAGCAGGAGGTTGGACTAGAAGACCTCCAAGGTCCCTTCCAGCTCTATTCTGATTTACTGACAAATGATTTGGGCTTCTAGACATGTTACAGGAAAACCAGGTTTTAGAGCTGCTTGATGTTTTCCATTTACTCAATATTCAGCTTCCTAAATGTTTTGACTTTACCATTGCATCCATGATACAATGGCTTCTTGAAGTAAATAATGCTGAACGTCTGGCTATGTACTCAAGAACAGTGCCTCAAGAAAAGGCATCATTACTAGATTATGGCTGATCACAGAAGCTAAGCAAAATCAGTCGTGGTGAGGTAAATGGAAGCTGCCTGAGAATTCCAGTTGGCAGATGAGACTCAGAAGTTAAAATTGAAAAACATTCCAGAAAAAGTAATGGCAAATCTATTCCATAATACTGCCAAGAAAACTACAAGAACTCGATCCCTAGAAATCAAACGAAGACATTTTTTTATTTTATCCAAGAATTATTATACAGCACCACTGCCATCAGAATACATAACTATCAAATCCTATCCAGGAAATTTTTTTTTTTTTTTTTTGCTTTTTAGAGGTGTGCATTTTTTAAAAAAGGAGAGCTATGAATAAAATCAGGATCAAGAATGAAGACAATCACCATTGCATTATAAACTGAGAAAACTGTTGTTCTTTCAGAAAGATTACCTATTTCAATGATTTAAATCATGGAGCCAATCTCAGCATATCGGCATGGGATGACAATGAAGAGACAGACATGAATGTCCTCCTTTTATTACCCAACATTTATCCATTACATTTACCACCCTCTCTTCTTCCAAGGAGCTCAATGTAGTGTGTGCATGAATATCTCTTGAAAAACATGCAAAACATGGAAACACACATGTACACACTTTATCTCACAACAATCCCAAAAGGCAAGTTAAGCTGAAAGACAATGACAGGTAAAAACTCAGCCAATCAACTTCTTGAGCAAATGGACATTTCATTCAGAGTTTCTCTAATCCCAATTGAATGTTCTAAGCCAGCAATCCCCAACCTTTGTGGGTTGGAGGCTCGGCTGGCGAGGGGAGAGGGGAACCAGGCTGCGCAGCTCCACTCATGCAAGAGAGAAGAGAAGCCTTTGGGAACACAGTCTCGTACTCCTTCAGACTCACCGAGGCTGCCCAACACTCCAAAAGTGAATCGGGTGTCCTGTGCAGGCAGCCTCAGTGAGTCAGTGAAGCTGAGCAGGGCGCACTTCTCCCATTCAGCCTCTGCTCTCACCACTCCGCTTTTGGAGCATCGGGAGCAGGCGGCTTGGCTGGGAGGGGCAGAGGAAAACTGGGCCATGTGAGCCCATAGGTTTAGGCACTGTTTCGGCACTATTGTAAGCACTGCACTGTAATAGTTTACAATTTGAACCTTCTTCAATTTTTCCAATATCAGAAAGAACAACAGCACTTGATCATCTCAGAAGAGGACGACTTGTCCAAAGTTATATCAGACATGTATTTTAAGGTGTTTTTCAATGTCAACATGCCTATAAATGTCAAAAAATTCAAGAACAAAAAAGTTTCTATCCAAATAATAAAAATATGCTATTGGGACATCCAACAGTTTACTCATGGAACTGCCTCTCCTTGAGGATATACCTCCTGGATACACTCCAGGTCCCTCCCTTAAATGTTTCCATCCTATGGGACTTCAGAGGTGTTCCTTATCGGTGGTCATCCCAAGTCTTTTGGAACAGCTCCGACTGGAAATCAGAGGAACCCCTACCCTCTTGGCAAATGTGAGCACTTGGCAACCAGTGAGCATTTGTGATCAGTGTAGCATCCCATGGCCACATGATCACCATTTGCGTACTTCATATCCCATTTCCAACAAAGTCAACAGGGAAGCCAGCAGTAAAATCACAAATTGTGACCATGTGATGTCTAACTGTAATTATTGCAATGAGTCACTTACTGACCACAGGGGGAATGACAGAGTTGCCAGTCCCAAAAGTGATTGTTAAGTCAGTATTACCTCTACTACCTCATAATTTTACTGATCAAAGTCCTTTTAAAATAAATTTTAATCAGCAGAGCATAATTGGAGTTTTCGGACGTCTCCGAAGAATTATAAGAAATTGTACTGAAGGAATTCAACATAAACATTAAAAGGCATGTTTTCTTCTATCATTCAGCTATAAGAAAATATTTGAAAAGAACACTGTACATAAGTATGGCAAATAAATAAAATATTCTGCATTTTCCTGGGGTGATTAATGTCAAAGAAGTAACCATTCATTCTCACACAGAACCACTCCCACAACAAAATACATTTTACAGGCACACAAACCCACTTCTTCCCCCTTCCAACAGAAACAGCCAAAAAGAAGAAAAAAACAGAGCAAAGATAGAGCAAAAGGAAAAGGTGGCTGCAGCAGGAAGAGAATGAAGAGGAAGGGGAAAGTGGATGGAGATGCTACACAAGGAAAAATTAGCTGGAGGGAGAACAAAACAAAAGAATACAACCTCTGCTTAGGCATTACAGTTCACAAGTCAATTTAGTTAGTCAAGCAGTCCTTCTCAGAGGATGGCTAATCTTCAGGCTTATCTTCAGAGGCAGTCAAGTTTTTTTCAGCAGTGATAACTGTCGACATCTCACTTTGACCCACTGCTTGTTTTCAACAGTTTATTCTATTTATGTCAGGAACACAAGACAAATTATAATTTGGAACTGATCATGGCCAGCAAAATGGTTTATGTATAAATTAACACTGGCCCACAATTAGATCCAGAATCAGGAGTGAAATCTGTACAAGTGAGGTTTATACAGTAATAAGTTATCTTGATGTTCTAATTGTAATTAGAATCTATAATGAGATATACAATGGATATGTAATACATACAGGATACATTATTACTTTGTGCCCAAGTCAGTCTGATTTTGATCCTTGGCAATAATGTGGACAAGTCCCTGCAATTTTCTTGGGAACATTTTTAAGAAGTGGTTTGCCGTTGCTTGGCAATCCAATTATTCTATTCCACAATAAACAAATATGTATTCCCAAATTATTTAATGATTTTTAAAAGATGCTTACCAAATACTATTGCTTTAGCAAAAGGAGGAAACAATTCTGTATGCCTGAATAAGTGCTTATGAATCTGCCAGAGTTCTTTGTGCAATTTCTTAAAGTCACTGTATCTCTTCCAAACGACTATCTGAAGCAAAACAAAATAAAACAAAACAGAAAACAAACACACCCATGAGGCAATTAATCCTTCTAATAAAGCATTTATAAAAATAAAAAAGCAGGAACCAATACAGTCACCAAAAATATTAGCTAACAGTGTGAACCTAAATTTTGCTGTGATATCATTTTTTCTTCCCTCTCTTTTTCTACCCGAAGAACAGGTTTACTAAGACATATCAGGTAAGGATTTTAATCCAGGAAATCACTTAGTACTCAGTTTTGCTCATAAACTAATGGAGAGAAATCTAATTGAATTTTTCCTAATAATGTATTTAAATTCAGTGTAGTCATCTAAGATATATTTCTAATGTTCTGTTTCAGTCCATTTTAAATCTGTAAATAACTGCACAGAAATAGTAAAAAAAAAAAGTCAGTTGTGTCTGACTTAAGGGGGCGATGCTCATCACTGTTTTCCTAGCCGAAGGAGCCAGCATTGTCCAAAGATACTTCTGTGGTCATGTGGCTATCATAACTATACGTCGAGTTACATGGAATGCTGTTAGCTTCCCACCGAAGGGGTACCTATTTATCTACTTGCATTTGCATGCTTTTGAACTGCTAGGTTGGCGGGAGCAGGAGCAAGAATGGGAACTCACCCATTATACAGTAAGTATGCATCCATATTTGCAAAAAGATGTTGTATAACTTCCTACCTGTTAGACGTTGGCCAGCTTTTGTTTATTTAGGCATTCACTGAAACATACCAAGGGTAGCTAAACATCTGCATGCAACTGTAAGTCTTCAGTGCTACACAACTGAGGACTAGAGCTTCTTTGATGAATATTTTTTTAAAAAAATATGATTAAAACATCCATTAAATTTCTACCAATTGTCCAAAAGTGGAAAGAACGATGAAGGCTCAAATAATTATTAAATTCACCAAGGTAATCTAAATTAGGGTAGTAACTATTTACTTCCTAGAGAGACCAACTTTTTTAAAAAAAAAAAGATAATGTCAAAATAAGGTACTGGCTTTGTGTATCTGTTCTTACAAATAAAGATTCTTTCATGTATTAGCATATTTATTCTCAGTCTCTCTCTCTCTCTCTCTCTCTCTCTCTCTCTCTCTCTCTCTCTCTCTCTCCCCCCCCCCCCCGTCTTTCTGTCTCTCTCTTTTGTAAAGCTACTTACATAGCCCTATCCCTTTTCTGCAACCTATCCTTACATTTTTTCCAATGGATTTATTTGTTGTAAAAATCCAGTGCCAGCCTGGAAGTCTTAACTGTTTCTTAAGAATTGCTTTTTCTTGTTAGGAGCACCAAGATCCCATATACTCCATATTATATGCATATATTTGCACAAACACAAGTTATTAAAAAGATAACATTATTCAGATTTCATGAATTCACATGCATATTTAACCATTCCACTATTCCCTTTTGGAATAAGTAATACAGAATGCAGAAAAAAGTAGGAAATAGGAAACCAAAGAAATTAAAGTTATGAAATAAGAAAAAGAAAGGTATCTTGGTTAAAATTAGTATACCAACAACACCATTCTCTCATTACACTTCTGCATACCTTTCTAGATTTGCAAATCATTCTTGTTTCTACCACCACTTCACACACTACATTTTGTCCCTTAAATTTCTCATCCCTCTATTCTTGGACATCTCATCAGCTCAATTAAACCCTTATTTTCTTGGTCTTCCCCTTCCTCCTGCCTAAATCACTCTTTATTATAATAATAATAAAGTTGGAAGGGACCTTGGAGATCATTCAATTCTTTTTTTTCCCATTCAGATAATCCTGTTTATCAACCATTCTCAGCTATTGTGGTGATAAAAAATAACATTACAACCAATCCTTCCATTTATGACTTTTGCATATCTATAAAGCAAAGGAAAACTGAAATAAGATCACAAGCACAGTCACGGTTTCACTTAATGACTGCTTAGCTTAATGACTAAGTTGCCACTTCCAATTGTGGCCATTAAACAAGGACTATCTGTATGTGATCAAAACAACTCTGTATTTTTTTTTTATTATGGTCACTCACTTGTGCATTCAATCCACATTCATTCAGCACCCATATTACTATTTACATGTTCTTAAGTACCTGATTCCTACTGCATTCAACCTACTTTTTGCCCTGTACTTAAGTCTCTCTTTCCTATAGCAGAGTGGACAGAAGTACACTCTTCAGACCTTTTCATTTCTTTTCACAAATATTTATTCTGAACAGCAGACCACAACTAGTCATTATCTTTCTACCAGCATTTTGCATATTTTAATGTTTCTCTATCTTAACATAGTGTCCTTGTTGTCCACCACTTGGTATTGAACTGTTTTTAATATTTCTATAGTACATTTAAAAATTAAACATTATTCCAGATATCAGTGCTCAAGGATTTTATTTAGTACAGATTTAAAAGTGAGCAGCTCTAATCTGAATCTTCCAGATAAAAATACAGATCAGAAAGAATAAAAAACCCTCTTGCCAATTCTGCCTGTCTTCTAATTCTCTGATGTTGTTTCCAACTCCAAGAAATGTTAAAATGCTAAAAAAGCATGATTGTATATCATGTATTTTACTACTGTATAAAACATTTTCCTAGCCTCAAAACTTGTTATACATAGTTATATACAATATAGTGTAATGCTGGAAGAAAGGCCTGCCAAGCTCAACAAAAACATCTATGCCTATTATATATATATAATTTAATGCTTTTTGGTTAGGCTATATTTTTATAATAACACCAAAGTGCAGTTTACAGTTGAAAACGTGAAACTTTTTTTTTAAAAAAAAAGTTAAACTAAATAAGCAGACAGAAGACTTCATAAGTTTCAGTTTTGGCCTTACCCAGAGTCTACAAGTTATCTGTTTGCCAGTATCAGGTGATATTAACCAACTGTCATATTTGCCAAGCTAAATGAAATGCCTCCACTGAATAACAAGCCAATAAGTTGTTTTAAGTGTTTTTGAATATATATTTTTAAAAACACTACCAAATTTCAATATGAAAATATGAACCAACTAGATCTAAAAAGGCAAATCATTTTAAATATCTAGATGAAGTAGCATTATATAATACAGATAAATTATACTAATTATCTTACATTGAGTTACAATTTGAGAGGCTAAAGGTTATGGCATTTATATATTTTTCACATTATTTTACAGATTATATTTTTGGAAGGACTGATTCCATAAAAGCACTTTAAATAAATAAATAAGTAAATAAGCAAGCAAGAAAGCAGAAAAATAGTTGGGGAATATATTGTAGGGTCCTTGTAACTTTTATAGAGGTCCATGGTCAATTTCTCCTCTCCAGCTCTCATCTGGCTGGGATGAGTATATGACTTTCCTTATACACTATCTCATTCTCTCACTAGGGGTGGACTATAAGCTTCCTCAAAATTCCTTCCTCCTTCCACCTAACCACCCTCTGCTCAGATCCCCCTTCCATTTCCTACCCAATCACAGATTCATACAATTTTTCCATATATTCCAAGCAATCTTTCCTCCTTCTCTTTTTCCACTCCAATTCCAATCTGTAACATTCTTTCCACCTTCATCTTCCCTACTCTTGTCTCCAATATAGTCTTTAGTCTAATTTTCTCCCAAGATTCCTCCAACTCTAATCTACAGCACAGTCCTTCAGTTGGATTTTCTTCCAGTTCCTTCTCTATCTGTACACAGTGTATGGAGTTTTAATTTTTCCCTTCTAAGCTCTGATTCTGAGGAAGATTCTGACCGTCAGGGCTGAATTTATCACTGGGATTGGTAAAGAAGATGTTCTTTAAACTCTTTGAATGATGGGATGGTTGCTAATGAAATTCACTAAGACTGCAATGGAGGAAAAAATGTGCCCTCTGCTGCATCCTGTCTTAACAGACTGGCCTTCTCTGAGATTAGAAGCTAAGCTGGCTTGATAAGGAATACCAAGGCTGTAGTCTAAAATGAGAAGTTGAAAAGTCATCCTAAAGGAAGCAATGCATGCTATGTCCATACTACTACCAAGTAAACTACATATACAATATATATGTATAAAAGAGACTTTATTTTTTCAGTCTCCACACTACATACACAATTAACAGTCTCCTACCCTTAATAGTATTTAAAAACAAAATAAGATTGCCTTATTTATAATTAACATGATAAGGGATAAAGCTCAGCTATCATCATATTCCATCCAAGTTTATTGACTGTCTTTTTTTATATGGACTCCAAATTCTTCCTTTGCTTGATTTCTAATTCCTCGTCTGCTAATCAACTCATCTTCTTCTTAAATGGAACTTAATATATGGTCATGATTCTTTGTGTCTGACAAAGCCAACTGAATAGGAAGGGACCTTGGAAGTATTAGTCCAACCACCTGCTCAGACAGGAAATCTATAACATTCCATGGAAATGGCTACCCAATGTCTTCTTAAATACCTCCAGTGATGGAGCTATCACAATTTCTGGATGCAAGCCATTTCACTGATTAACTGTTCTCACTGCCAGGAAATATCTCCTTAGTTCGAGGTTAGATCTCTCCTTGATAAGTTTCCATCTGTTACTTCTTGTCTTACCCTCACATCTTTGGAGAACAGGTTGACTCCCTCTTTTCTGTGACATCTATTGAAGAATGTATCCAGACAATTCAGGAAACCTGTCTGCTGGGCACATTATTCACGTAACAGGATGAAAGTCTCTCTTCCACCCCGACAGAACTGCAGAAGGAATATTTGTCATTTTGTTCATGAGCCAAAGCCTAGAAGAACTTTCTGAACTTTCCCAATATTTTACAAAATCAATCTCTCTGTCAAAACACTATCTCTATAGTGTGCTGGTCTTTGACCATAAAAAGATTTAATTTGATCAGTGATCAGAATGATCATCAGAGATGAGAGAACTATATGCCTGGTCAACCTGTTGGGCTTTCAGGGAGAATCTGAGATATGATTAACATTCTAGTTCTCCATTCCCTCATCCCACCACCACCACCACCACCACCACTACTGAAAGCCCTCAGGAATACATATCACCAATTTTACTACATTTAGCTATGGAACCAAAGAAACTGCTCTGGGCTGCAGAACTCTGTTCTTTTTATGAATGTTTTCAGAGTTATTATCATAATTGCCTTGAGCATTCTGCTTTATTTGCTATCAACCCCTTCTTACTTTATTCTTAGGAACACATACTGGTTCAGCATTAAGCACATTGTGCTGGTTACTGAATGCATATTTGCATTAAAAGGGGCCAAAATCAATGCCTTCTGGTCAGTTAAAAAGATCAGGAAACAGAGGATGAGAATAACCTCTACCTGAGGGTCTAATGCCAGAGAAGACAAATACTGGACTGAATGATCTCAAAGTATGGTCTAGAACAGGGGACCTCAACCGTGGCAACTTTAAGATTTGTGGACTTCAACTCCCAGAATTCCTCAGCCAGCTGAGAGTTGAAGTCCACAAGTCTTAAAGTTGCCAAGGTTAAGGATCCCTGGTCTAGAATAAGGAACTTTCTTAAATGTCCTTCATTCTTTATCAAATCTGTTTTGCATTCCTTTCCTCTCATCTTCTAATGGTTGAATCACATCTAAAATCTGTGTGATTCCTGACACTGCAGTCTCTCAAATCATATTTCTGTATTTATTTAAAAATGTATATCTCAACTTGACAGTGCATAGTTATCACTTGCAGGCAGCTACTGGGACTTTCTAATGGGGAGAGGGATGATGACATTATCATGCAGATGCTGAGACTTATATATCTCCTGATAAGAGTCAATGTTGCTTTTAAAAGGACAAACTAACAAAAATGTAAACAAAAGAGTCTTCATTACCTCTTGGACATCTTCTGGATTTTTTCGTGAAACAATCTGAAAAACAAAAGCAAGGCCTTTTTAGTGCTCAAGGCTTTTAAAAGGATAAAAAATAACAAATGAAATTAGACAACACAGACTGAACTGGGAAACCAGCTTTATTGTGAAATCCTTGGTGCTCTGAGAGTTTAGTTGTATGTTTGCAGACATTTCATTAACCTATTAGATAACATCATCACTGTGAGAGAGAGAGGGTGTTATATGCACTCCCATATCCGATTTATGGTCACTCACTCACACATTGACAGCCCTGGTCAATAACCAGGAAACAATTAAACAATTACTTCAGATCACTTTCAACCAAACACTGAAGCATGACAGCTTCTTTAGAATTCACAAGTGATCCAGTGAATTTAAAACAACAGCAAAACGTTACTAGTTACAATGTACATTTGCTCTTTCTCAGACAAACATGCACATATACCAGGGGTAGGCAACCTTGGCTCTTTTAGGACTCGTGGACTTCAACTCCCAGAATTCCTGAGCCAGCCATGCTGAGGGGAAAGGGAGAGGTTTCCAAGTGAGCCATGCTGGCTCAGGAATTCTGGGAATTGAAGTTCACGAGTCATAAAAGAGCCAAGGTTGACTACCCCTAACATATACAAATACACTCATGTACACTTACCCACATTGTTTTCAACTAGGGAAAACATCAAGTCTGGATCCAAAGACTGGGCAAACTTTTTTCCCCTTTGTTTTCTTCATGACTTAATTCCTTCTTAAATACTCCCAAAGGGATCTTTTAGACAAGAGTCCTGGCTTTCGTCCACCTGCTTTGATTTCTGCTTCATCTTTCTCCTAGTCTTACAGGAGTTTGTTCTCTGTTTAAATACAGTAGCTTGCCCTACCAGTGTTTGGGAGCAGATTATGTAGTTTCCTCCTTGGTAGTTCCTTGATTAGGGCATTGATTTCTGCTTGATTGTTTGCCTGGTGTTAAATCTCTGCTTATCAGGATGTTGGCTGGTAGAGAGGATGTGTTCTGGTTGCTTTTTTATTGTCCCTTTTTAATGATGTGTAAATATGATTTATTTCTATGTATCTATTGTTGGCTGATTTGTCTGAATGTCAAGCTTCCAGGAATTTCATAGTATTTTGGGATTTAGTTAATTAATTCTGGGCATCTAGGTCACATATTAGCAAAAGCAGGGCCACAGACAAGGGAGGAGGGTCAGATGGCTCCTCATACTAATGCCATATACTGTATTGGTATAAAAAATACACATAGTTTATATATAAATCTCTGTATATTTGCCCAGAGTTAGTTATAAGATAGGCAGCTATATAAATGTTTTAAATAAATAAATGAACTTGCCATTCATTCTTTCTCTTTTTCTGTCTACATTGAAAATAGTGGAGTTCAAATTTAATATCTGACTTCTAAATATACACAGAATGGTGATTTTTCAAGGGCAACTTCTGTTGATGGAAGCTATTTTAAAAGAAATCATACTAATAATACCTGGCTGCTGAATGAAGGCAACCAAAGAATTGCAAGTATTAAAGAAGATGAACTATTCTACTCCTATTAGTCCAAAAAGAGGATATGTTTTTCACCAGACAGTTTGTGAATAGCAGAAGGAGCAATATGTCAGGTTGAGTTTCTATCAAACACAAATAAGGATTATCTTCTGACCTTGAATGAGTTAGATCTCCATGGCCAGACAGAGTGCACTGATGGTCTAACTGAATTTCTATTCAAAAACTAGGCAAACCTTTACAGAACAGGCAACATTGACCATTTTTTAAAAGATAGAAAAAGAAGGATTCAGGCACTCTGGTGTTTATTTATTTATTTATGAGACTTATATACCACTTTATGTGCAAGCACTCTCTAAGCGGTGTACACCAGTAAGCAATGTGTGTGTGTGTATGTATGTATGTGTGTATATATATATATATATATATATATATATATATATATATATATATATATATATATATATACATTGCCCCAACAATCTGGGTCCTCATTTTACCTACCCCGGAAGGATGGAAGGCTGAGTCAACCTTCAGCCGGTGAGATTTGAACCGCTGACCTGCTGAACACAGTCAGCTAAAGTGGCCTGCAGTACTGCACTCTAACTGCTGCGCCACCTTGGCTCTTATCAACACCTAGAGCTATCCCACACCCCATACATCCCCAACTCGGTCAGCATTATAGAACGGAGGGGTCGTCCCATCTTCTTCGGATCGATCGTCCTATTCCTCTCGAGCTGTAGATGAGGTGTTGGTTTTAACAATCTCCCCCCAACACCTCATCTACGGCTCGAGAGGAATAGGACTATCGATCCGAAGAAGATGGGATGACCCCTCCGTTCTATAATGCCGACCGAGTTGGGGATGTATGGGGTGTGGGATAGCTCTAGGAGCAACTGCGAGTCGATGGACACTCTGGAGAGTGGAGAGAAGAGCGAACCCGGATGGAGGAATGCGCGAGAGGGCGGAGCTTGCGGGATCAGCCTACCGCGCCTCACATCAACAGCACCCATCGACTCCAAAGATCCTTGTCACAGGCACGCAAGAATGAGAGGCAACGGAGCGAGGAGGGGGATGGAAGAGGAATGCTGTGACGTTCGGAAGGATCGTAACCCCACCTCCCCCCAGACCGAGACCTTTGTTTATAACACGGGGAAAAAGAGCGCAGGAGACGAAAGAAAGGGGAGGGAGCATGTTAACTGGGTTTGGCCGCATCTATGAGACTGGCTGCATAGACAAACAACTTATTGAATCATCCCAGCTTACTACCACACCTCAGTTAACCCAGAGTGGTACATGTGACCATCTTGACAGCAGTTGGGCACAAGGGGGAGGTACTAGGGATGAAAGGGAAAACATTCAGAGAGAGAATAGTCGTGCAAATGTGGATTGGGAGAAGGAGAAGGAGAAATGCAAACCACTAGATAAACCCGAGGGAGAGAACAGAGACAATCAGAGAGACAAGGAGGCTGCTCCACTTACTTTAGAGCTCAAAGAAAAGAAAGCAAATGAGGACACCCGCGAAAAAAGGGGTGCAGGAAGAAACGAGTCACCGGAGCACAATCCAACCAATTAGGTCCGATGACGAGATCGAGGAGCCGGGCGCAGACTTTGGCTTGCTTATAAGAGACTCTCTCACTCCCTGGCGTTTTAAGCCCTGAGGATGCCAGCAGGTGACGGCGAAAGCTTGGCGTTTTTAAATTAAATTAAACTTTTATAGTTTTATCACCCTGGTGCTCACCTTATTTTAAATATGAATATTTCCCAGGGTTCATATTTTTAGTGTTATTAACCATATATATATATATATATATATATATATATATATATATATATATATATATATATATATATTCACTTATTTATGTATATTATTTATTATAATAAAATTTATTAACTTGTATATCTACTTGTTATTGATTTCTTTGATTTATATCATTAGAATGACTCTATCAATAATGATTCCCTTTTACTGCTGAACCTGACAACTAGCAGGGTGTACACATCTGATGGAAACTCAATTTCCTTCTGGGTAAAAGTGTTAAAATCAATTATTAAGTGTTCATATACATGCTAAATTAATGATTATAAATTCAAAAGGTTGAGCATCAAATGGACTATTTACAGTAGCTCTGCTTTGAAGAGTGAGAAGTATGTGTGTAGATAATATTGTTACATCTTTCCTGTAAGATCTTTTTTCCCTAAGGCATTGCAAGCTTGAAGTGTTAATCACATAGGAACCAAGTAATGCCAAGAGAGCATGATGCAATGTGCATTAGATTCTGCAAGTCGAAAAAAAGAATTCAATCCTTTTTTCTATTTTCTTTGTACTTTGTAATTGGTAAAGGTACATTCTATATGCCTTCTACCGTATTGTATATTTATAAGGATTTAACTTTCATCTCCAAAATAGTTCCACTTCACTGTTTTATGACACATGACTTACACTATCTCTATGTACATATATACCTAACCTGTTTTCTTGTTTTCTCCCCTTCTATGCTTCAAATTATTTTGTAACATCCAAAGAACTCATGAGAAAGATTACACCAAGTTAAGCCAACTTTGTAATCCTTGGCGATAAAAGTGTTGCAATTTGTTCTTCTCCATATTGAAATTACCCAACTTTGGTTAAGAATGGAGAACATTTTCAAGCTCAAAGGCATATATTATCGGTTGTTTAGACATACCCAGGTTCCACACCACATCTTTTCAACTATGTAAGCCTGGACACAATCACTGGAAGGGAGTAGAAATTTTCATTGCTTTCTCTTTCCTCCCAATTACAGTATTTTAGTGCAGATTTCTAGCTTGCCACTTAGCAAGATCAGAGCAATATAGTTAGATTTTCAACTAGCATTACTAGAGCAAGAATGCAAAGAAGGGCAAGGTTTTTCAAATCAGGTTCCACAGAACCAGAGGTTCCATGAGCTAATAATAATAATAATAATAATAATAATAATAATAATAATAATAATAATAATAAAGTTGGAAGGGACCTTGGAGGTCATCGAGTCCAACCCCCTGCTCAGGCAGGAACCCTACACCATTTCAGACAAATGGCTGTCCAGTCTTCTTAAAAACTTCCAGTGTTGGAGCATTCACTGCTTCTGGAGGCAGGTTGTTCCATTGGTTAATTGTTCTGTCAGAAGTTTCTCCTTAGTTCTAGGTTGCTTCTCTCCTTGATCAGTTTCCATCCGTTCCTTCTTGTCCTGCCTTCAGGGGCCTTGGAGAATAGCTTGACTCCCTCTTCTTTGTGGCAGCCCCGGAGATATTGGAACACTGCTATCATGTCCCCCCTTGTCCTTCTCTTCGTTAAACTAGACATACCCAATTCCAGCAACCGTTCCTTATATGTTTTAGCCTCCAGTCCCCTAATCATCTTTGTTGCTCTTCTCTGTACTCTTTCTAGAGTCTCAGCATTTTTTTTACATCACGGTGACCAAAACTGGATGCAGTATTCCAAGTGTGGCCTTATTAAGGCATTGTAAAGTGATATTAATACTTCATGTGATCTTGATTCTATCCCTCTGTTAATGCAGCCCAGCACTGTGTTGGCTTTTTTGGCAGCTGCAGCACACTGCTGGCTCATATTTAAGTGATTGTCCAATAGGACTCTGAGATCCCTCTCACAGTTACTACTATTGAGCAAGGTACCCCCTATATTATACCTGTACATTTGGTTTTTCTTGCCTAAATGTAGAACCTTACTTTTTTTACCACTGATGGGATTCCACAAAAAACTAAGCCCAAAAATATTAAATAACTCTAATACTGTATATAAATTTGCCTAAACAAAGTATATTATGCGCCTGTTTTATTTTATTTTCAGATTTCTATCCCTGAAAAGCTTTGCCTCTTGATTAAGATTTTTTTTTTAACCAATAGATTTCACAACTGGAAAAAAATTGAAAAACCTGCTTGAGAAAATCTGGACTTCATTTCTCATTGAGCTCAGCCAGCACGATTAATACTAAGAAGTAGTGAGAGCTGCAGGCCAATATATTTGGAGAAGATTCTTTTAAAGAATATATGTGAAGCTTTCTGGACATTCTACAATGCTATATCAATGCTATTATTATTACCACTAACATCTGCAAAGGAGTATTAAATAGAACAAATTCAGGGCAGTTCAGAAGATATATGCCATGAGTTAAAATCCCAGAAAAGGCTGCTTGTATCTTTCTTCCAAGAAAGCACAAAGTATTTGTTTTCTCCCCAAAGGTCTCAGTAAATAAAAACAATTCAAGATAGTTTTCTGTTTCTGGTACTATGATCTTTTATTTACCTGAATAAATCTCAAATTAATAAAAAGTATTGAGAGTACTCTCCCACTCATCATCAACAGAAACTAACCTGGTACAGTGTTATTTGGCTACTTTTCTGTTGCTCTGTCATTACTATTGAACGTCTGCACTTTTTCTAAGAAAAGATGGAGAAATTAAGCGGCTATATGACATAGAAGTACATTAAGGATCTTTAATTACAGACCTTTCCTCCAGCAATAAGATTATTCTGAGGGTCCAAAATATTTAAAAGATGCAGTATTTAGGTAATATCTCTTAATTATGGACAGGGCTTGGAAATTCAAAGAGGACCTACTGTCTGAGATAAAATCCCCTGTAATGTTCAGTGTGTTTCTACCAGTGTTCAAAATATCTGTGTAGTGATTAACACAGGAGTTTGGGTTTTTTTTTAAATCCAGACTGGGAATGAGTTTCCCAAAAAAATGTCTGCTATTTAAAGTATAAATGGGACTGGTTTGATTTGTGCACAGAACAAAATGTTCCTCCCTTAATAGATTAATTTTAATATAATGCTTGGACTGAACTAGGGAACATATGCTTTGCAATTTAATCGCCTTTTGTCTTTCAAGGTAGACACCCAGAACAATCCATAACCTTCTGCTGCCCTTTGCAAACACAAATCAAGTATACACTGGCTGTTGCTCTGGTTCTTTCATCCTATTTGGACATATGATGACAGCTGCTCCATCCAATCTAGTCTTACACAGTGCAAATTTTGATTGCTCTTCCCCCAACACTTTTTTTACCTGCCATTCACAATTCTGACAATCCTTTGTGGCTTTACTCAAAAGTAAGACCTCTTATATTCAGTGTAGTTTACCTAAGACAAGCAATATCTCTTCTGCACATATTCTTTTCTCTCTTTTCTCCACCCCACAAAGGACGGAAGGGTGGATAGATGTGGGCTGTGAATTATGCTTCTTCCATTTTTTATCATAGGGAGATAGGAGATCAAGGGGCATTGCAGAATCTCATAATCAAGGAAGTTTTAAGAATACAAACAAATAAATTTTATGTGATGGGAAATTTTTATAGAAAGAGATGGAGATTCAGTGCTATTTCCCCGTTCACGCTGTAAAGATTTGGATAACGGATTCTAAAAATCTGCTGAGGGAAAGAAGTGAAACATCTTAGTTCAGTAATAAAGCACATGCTCTGATTGCAAAGAGCCCCAGGTCCAAACCCCGCTGCTCCAGCTTTCAAAGACTACGGATAATAGAACCAGAGAAAGATGCCAGAGGAGGGATCAGCTCGAGACACGCGTAGATATCTAGGGCGAAAGAAACAGCCTCACGTTTCCTGGATGTGCCGAGAGGGGCTCACGGGCGCATAGTCCAGACAGCTGGGGTTGCCCCCGCCCTGCTACTCAAGATCTAACCTGCAGCCTCACGGAAACCCAGAGTACTCGGGAGTGCTGGGGCAAAATCAGCCCCGACGATCGGCCACGGAAAATCATCGGGGAGGCGAGAGCCCCTCTCTCGCTTTCCCGACCTCTCCAAAGGCAACTCACCCTCGCGGTGACCTTATATACCGTGTATCCCCGAGGATGGCGCTTGGGCTCGGTGACCGTGTAGAATCGGGCCACCTCCCCGCCTCGATTCCGCGGGGAGATCATCCTTGCCGCCGCGGCTGCTGGTGCAGTGGCCCGCCGGAGCTGCCGAGGCCACCGCTTCCCCTCCCAGAGCTGTCACTCAATCGATTCACTCCCGGGTCAGGCCCGGATTCGAGGCAGGAGCGGCTGCGGAAGTACTGCGGCGGTACCGTTTCCTTCGTAGTAATTCGGCCAGCCGCGAAGGTCGGTACATTTTCCTTCTAGCAGGTCGATCCATCTCCCCGCCTGCCCTTAAGAGCTGGAGACGAGAAAAAAGACCGGAAGGACCCTCGCTACGATGTTAAAAACGAGCAATAAATGTTGGAGCATAAAACAACTCTGGAGCTTTTTTGGTATCGAAAAAAATGAAAAACCGCTCGATTTTGTCTGGCATCACCCACCATTCTGGTAGGGAATTCAAGAGTGGAATTCAGTGGGGTTTAGACTCATTAAGATTTGTTTTCATCCTAGTCCATGTTATGTCTATGTGTGTGTAAGAGAGAGAGGTTTTTTCTTAAATCCACCTAGCAACTTCCAGACAGATATGCAGATTGAACCAAAAAAATATTATTGCAGTTTAATTGATTATGCAAAATTGGGTACTTGTTTCAATGGCATGTGTAAGGAAGTTGCACTTTTATACAAAACTCTTGAAATAAAGTAATACAAAAAATAAGAAATGAGCACTGATTAGGGAACTTTGGTGAACACTGGTGAGGGAAGTTAGCCCAGAGAAGGAAATATTAAAAAGGCAGAAAAATATATTTTTCCTCAAAAGGATTTTTTAAAACCAAACCTGGCCCCAAATCTATCTCTCTGCCCCAAGCAAGACTTTAGCTCCATACAAATGCAGATGTAAAACCATCAGAAAGTTGGAGCCAGAGCAATCAAGAAGACAAAAGAGAAGATCTGCATACCCCACCCAAACTCTAGGAGTCATTAGCCCCATCACCTGGGAAGCAGGATATGATAATAGGATTAAACCACAGATATCAAGACCTGGAAAAACACTCAGAAACAGCCTCAAGGTTCATGCCACAGGAACAGGAAACTATTCCAAACAAAAGGCTAGAGGGGGTATAAAAGCCTACTACACCATGTGCTCAGCCGTTCTCTCCTCTGCACTTTCCTGAAGAACCATCTTTCTGCAATAAACTGTAATCTTCTTCCCAAAGCAGTCACCATGTTTGCTTATTTATTCCCGGCTTGGATGAAGCAAGATGAAGACTTTACTTCTAACACTGGACTATTGTAGAAATAATGGCAGAATTGCCAGAATGTCAGTTTAACTAACTACATTCACCAAAGAACAGTGAGATACAAAATAAGCTAAAATTTTCCCCAGGAACCATGATCCACTACCAATTCAGCCAACCAAATTCCTGGCATTACTAGGGGATCCTGATTTTAGAAAAAATTCAACTCTCCAAAATAATCTAGTTTTGAGTTTTGAAGGGTTTATGTTCAACACAACTGATAAATTTGGATACTGGGGAAGTGGACTTTCCAAACCATGTTGAGGAGTATACAGAAATATAACCAGGGCAGGTAAGAAAGGACTTCCTGTTCATTTTAATTAAGGTCGTCTTTGTTGCTCTTCTCTGTACTCTTTCTAGAGTCTCAACATCTTTTTTACATCGTGGTGACCAAAACTGTTTGCAATATTCCAAGTGTGGCCTTATCAAGGCATTGTAAAGTGGTATTAACACTTCACGATCTTGATTTTATCCCTTTACAATGCCTTAGTAAAGCCACACTTGGAATACTGCATCCAGTTTTGGTCACCGCGATATAAAAAAGACGCTGAGACTCTAGAAAGAGTACAGAGAAGAGCAACAAAGATGATTAGGGGACTGGAGGCTAAAACATATAAGGAACGGTTGTTGGAATTGGGTATGTCTAGTTTAACGAAGAGAAGGACGAGGGGGGACATGATAGCAGTGTTCCAATATCTCAGGGGCTGCCACAAAGAAGAGGAAGTCAAGCTATTCTCCAAGGCGCCTGAAGGCAGGACGAGAAGCAACGGATGGAAACTGATCAAGGAGAGAATCAACTTAGATCTAAGGAGAAACTTCCTGACAGTTAGAACAATTAATCAATAGAACAACCTGCCTCCAGAAGCTGTGAATGCTCCAACACTGGAAGTTTTTAAGAAGAGACTGGACAGGCATTTGTCTGAAATGGTGTAGGGTTGCTGCCTGAGCAGGGGGTTGGACTCGATGACCTCCAAGGTCACTTCCAATTTTATTATTATTATTATTATTGATCATCACACAGTCAGCCAGATGTTCAGACTGGATTTGGCATTTTGTCTACCTATCAAGTCCTTACCCAGGACCTGGGATAGGCAGATGTGGAGGTTTGATGGTATTACAGGTATCGCCGCAGGATGGAAGCAGTTCCTAGTAAGGCTGCCTTTTGCAATTGACTAATAGCGAACTTGTCAATGCCAACAACACTGGAAGTTTTTAAGAAGAAACTGGACAGCCATTTGTCCAAAACTGTATAGAGTTACCTGCCTGAGCAGAGGGCTGGACTTGATGACCTCCAAGGTCCCTTTCAACTTTATTATTATTATTATTATTATTATTAGTAGTAGTAGTAGTACCACCTTGCAGCCAGGCCTCTCCTCGCTGGCCCACTTCTTCTGTGGAGTTTTCGGCAGCCAGGCCTGCATTTCTCAGTCACAGGCCTTTCCAGAAGGCCACTGCAACCAAGAACCGAGCTATGGATTGAATCCATAGCTCGGTACTCGGCTGCAGAGGCCTTCCAGAAAAGCCTGATTGCGAAATTGCAGGCTAGAATGCAGCTGCAGAATGAAGCTGCTCCTTCAGCTGCAAAAGAAGTGGACCGGCTAGGTGGTGCTGTCGATGCTGGAGGTGAGTATAAAAGACATCCCCTGAAAATAAGACCTGGTGCCTCTTTTGGAGGCAAAAAAAAAAAAAGATCCGGTCTTGTTTCCAGGGAAACATGGTATTGAGCAAGGTACCATCTATACTGTACCTGTGTATTTGTTTTTTCTTACCTAAATGTAGAACCTTACATTTTTCATCATTGAATTTCATTTTGTTAGATAGCACCCAATATAAGAACTTTATTTTCATACACAAATACTGAATTAACCATGATTTGTAAAATATGTTTCAGTATAAAGGGATGTGAACACAATATCTTATCTGCAACACTTTAATACAGCTGAGTCTTTTCGTAAGATGACATGTCTGCTTTATCATATCTCCATATTTTTCTATTAAATTCAAAGCACTGCAATAATTTGTGATGTTTTCTGTATGTTTGGGAAATTACAGTCTGAAGATGGAATCAATCTCCTGTTCAGATTTTTTAAGAAATCAATTTTTAGAAGATATGTCATGATTAGAAAATGAAGACCTTAAATCTTCTGATTCTTGTTTACTGTTGACTCTGTTGTTATACCATCTCACTATATATCGTGAGTGTGCGTTTGTGCATACATACAAACATATACATTATATGTAGTCTTCAAACATTTCCTTTATTTTTTGGACCAGGGCAGAGAGGAGAGGAAAATACTGATTCAAAACATGGGGAGTAACCACTCCACCAGGTAGATTATTTAAAGGGCAAATGTCTGCAGTGTAAGCCTTCACACCTGGAAAAGTATACACAAAGCCCCATCCTCACATCTGCAGATCCCCATCTCTGCAAAAATCAATGTTAAGTACTACTGTTTTTCCCCAAATGTAAGACCCAGTCTTACTTTCTTTTAGGCTCTGAAGTAAGCACTAGGATTTACTTTCGGGGAGGGTTTAATTTTTGCCGGTACCAGTAGGCCACAAACACGGGGGGGGGGTGAGGCAGGGCCTGTGCATGGGGTGGAGAAGCAACGCGGCGGAGAGAGCATGGTGGCGAACGAGGTACAGTACCGGTGCGGGTGGGGCATGTGCCTTTCCTGTGTCAGGCTAGCCTCTGAAGCCACGGGGTGGCCATGCTGAGCAGCAGCCAGGCTGACCAAAGTGGCAGGTAGAGCACCAGAGGCTCGGGGAGGGAGGGTGGTGAAGCAGACAGGTGGACATGGTCAGGTAAACAAAGAAATGCAATTCCTGGGGGACATGGGGGAAGGGCAGCCAGCATGGGTGCTGACAGCAAGAAGCCCACCCACTTCACCACCCTCCCTCCCCAAACTTCCAGCACTCCACCTGCTGCTTTGGTCCTGGGCTGTCGCCTCCCCACTTACCTCTCAGGTGAGCCCGACCAGGCAGGTGGCCTCCCCGGATCCCCGGGGAATAGGACCCCCACTCCAGCCAGAGGATTGTCAGCTTGGCTGCCCCCATCTTGGCGGCCTTCCCGCCAACGCCCAGTATGGCATATAGCATATGTAGTGGGAGAAACGGTGCCTTTAGTCTTACATTCCATTTTCAAGGTATATTTTGGGAGCAGATTAAAATCTTTATACTGCTACTGATATTAATAATAATAGCAGCAAAAACAATAATAAAAGTTAGTCACAAAATTAATATAAAATGCGTACGTTCCTGGATCCTGGCTCAGTGTTTTGCTTTGTTACCAATTGATCTTCACAATGAAGATCAATAATCAAGGTGTTTCATGTGTGGATTTTCTATAACACGCTGCAGAATCATACACAAAGTGCATATAAGTCATTATAAAATTAATACAATTAAGATAGCCTCTGTCTGTAATTTACTGACAGCTGGATCTCTGAAATTTGTTACATTACGATGGCAAAATAAATGAAAATAGAAGTGTAGGATTATAAAAGCTAACAAATTTGTTACCACATTAGTTTCTGAGTCTTGTTTATTATACATCTAGGGCCAAATATACTGTTGTCATGCTGTAATCTGCACAACTGAAATCTATAAATTTGGGCAGGCTTTACTGTACAATTTATAAACAAATAGATTTTTTTAAAAAATAAACTACTGCAGATGTATAATTTTGGTAAGAAAATAGGCACAATTTTTTGTTTAAGAATGTTATCACAATGTGGTTGCATTGCTGCCAAATTTAATACAGAATATACATCTGATGATTTTCTCTGAAGGCTGCTTGTACAGAACACTTGGAATTTGTCTACTGCACTCAACTGCACAACTTGACATTCTCCTCATTTTAGATTGTGAGATCACCACAATGCTTCTAAGTTCTAGGTATAGAACCAGTATTTCCATGACAACTTCACTACAGTACTGCATAGATTTTCATGAGCATTCTTACTATATTTGGTGTAATAGAATCCATTTTGATTGTTCACTGACCTCTGCTTCGTTCTGTTAAAACTAGATGAGGAATAGCATGACAATAAGGTTTGTAATATATGGATTTGTTAGATATTTAACACTCATTTAACTGCCATGTACCAAAGGTCCAATTCTCTTTACTGAGAAGTGAACATTAAAATAATTCTGTTTTTACTGTGTCACAGCCGGCTCTACACATATAAGAGAATAGCTTGAATAAGGTTATAAAAGTAGAACTAAATTCCAAGTTAGTCTTGATATTGAAGCTATGTATCACTATATACACACATACATATATAATTTTGTAAAGTTTTAAAAGGGAAGATAAAAATTCAAATCAATATAAAATAAAGAAAAATCAGAAAGCTAAAAGATTAAGAAAAATAGAAAAGAAAAAATACAAAGAAACATAAAAACTCTTTTTATAATCTATCAAATCATCAAAACATAATCTAGTCAACAGTAAATGACTAAGATGGGGGTAGGGAATAGCCAACCCTTTAGAAATAAGATCCAGAAAGATCTTGACAGACTTGAACACTGGCCTTATCCAGCAAAATGCAGCTTTGTGTGTGCCTTCTCAGTCAAGATCAATCCAGGCTTGCAGCTTTCTCTTTAATAAATTAATCCCAGAGAGAAACAAACAAGAAATATTATAAGCACAATGCAATGTTCTTTATGTAAACTATTGTTTAGTCATATTAATCCAAATGTAATTGATAAACACACTTTTCAGGATTGCACAGAATCTTTGATTAGAAAGCTGAATTTACGAACTTCAATTCAGTCACTATATTTCTGCCAAATTCACCTCATGGGAATCACTATGAATGTTGAAATTTACCAATGAACTCCCTTAAACAAGGCACAGTATGAAAATGACAGTTGCAATTCAAATATAAATAGATGTATACTGAAAAACATTGTTTTAAAAATGTCATCACTCTTCATCAAAGTTTTGAAAGCAGTCTATAAATTTGGCAATTGACAAAACGGATAAATTCCTGTCCATAATTAAATAGCTAAGTCCATCCTCCACATACAGAGCAGGGCAGGCACCGGCTACTCAGAGGAAGCTGCTGCGTTCACCGCAGGTTTTGACTCAGGTACTTAAGAAACATGTTGCCCAGTTGGGGCAGATTTTCTTCGCCTTCTCCCGGGTGCATCTTGGCGTAACTGAGGAACTGCCTTCGCAGGCGGCTCAGTTCAGCCAGGCTGACCTGCCTGTTAAGCAGCAAGCCCGGAGACTCTCGGCCGCCTCCTGCTAGCCCATCCACCGCCACAGGAATGAACTGTCCGGTCTGGGCGCCGTCCCTCTGAGCAGCCATGACGGCGGCCAGCACCTCTTGGGTCAGGCGGTCAAGCTGGTGAAGGAAGCCGGCGGCTTGGAGCGGCTGGGAGCGCGTGGACTGATTGGGAGGAGGCGGGCGCCGCTCCAAGAGGGAAGCGCGGATCTCGGGCAGCGGCAGGGGCTCGGCGGGGTCCTCGGGCGCCAGAAAGAGAGGCCAATCCCAGCGGTTCTGCGAGTCCGGCGGCTCCAAAGGAGGGCGGTCGGGGCGCGCGCCACCTCCCGGGCAGAGCACCAGGCAATGCGGGGTCCCCGCGTGCTTGCTGAGGCAGTAGAGCTCGTAGCGGAAGCTCTTCAGCTCGCTGCCCGCGTCGACGATTACCACGTCCCGCTGGTTCAGCAGCCGTTCAGCCGCCGCCCGCAGGGCAGCCCGGCCTCCGGCCACGTCCGCTTCGGACACAACGAAGGCGCGCCGTTCGCCTTCAGAAACCAAACGGGCGCGCAGCTCTTCGGCGCGCCGGCTCTTGCCGCTGCCCGGCAGCCCGCACAACAACACCAGCGGCATCGCCCCTTCGCTCAGTCTCCCGCGAAAACCTCCCGGCGTATCATTCCTGCTTCCGCCCAACGCTGAGATGGTGGCATCGACGTTTCCGTTAACCAAGAGAGTTTTCGAGCACGCTTTCCGCTTCCGGTTTCCCCCCTCCAATCACTTCGATATTTTGGATTTCGGAAATACGAACGAGATAAAATAATGAAGAGCAGTTTCCAGTTCGAACTTCCGGGTTCCACAGCAAACCCTTTGATGAATCAATCCGGCCGTCAGGAAATAATCATCTAAAAAAGAACTCAGTGTTAAAAACTAGCCACCTCTTTGATCTTCAGCACAGCTGAATTTCCTAAAGGGAGAAAATTAGGAGGGGTTTAAAAAAACCAAAGAGAGTTTCTCAGCAGCTTATTTTTCGTGAGTCTATAAAAACGTGATCGAAAGTAACGCCCGTGGAAAAAAAATAAAACTAGAAGTCCCATGCGCTGAAGCGAAAGCGGGGGAGGAGAGGGTCGGAGAAAAAGGTGGGCTTTGTTCTGTGGGAGGAGTCGCCGGTTTGGAGCACGCGCGGGGCTGAGTCCTGATCGCGCGCGGTAAATGAAAGAGGCGGCGGCGGCGGCCTGAGATGACCCCTCGGGCGAGTGACGGTGGAGAGCAGAGGTCTGACCGGGAGAGCGGAAGTAGCCCACTCGGAGGTAACTATATGGACCCTCGTGGCCTAGGTCAGACTCTCCAAATCCTAGTGCCGTCGGATATGTTGGACTACAACTCACATCGCTCCCTTAATATGATCACTGTAGTCGAGCATCACCGGAAAACGCTGGCCAGAGGGATAAGAGCTGCCCCTTCTGATTTAACCTGCTCAGGATAGGATGTGGAGGATCGTGAAACAAGGAGTCCTTGGTGCTCTCTAAGCTTGCTTGTTTTCCTGCAGACGTTTCATTACCCGAACTACGGTAGGTAACATCATCAGTGCTACTAATATTACCTAGTTTGGGTAATGAAACGTCTGCAAGAAAACAAGCAAGCTCAGAGAGCACCAAGGACCCCTTCATTTCAACTCTGATCTACAATTATTCTCCTTTATTGATAGTGAAACAGACAATCATTAACCAAGCAGCACTTCCCTGTACTGTATACAGGCTGGGTTAATTCATCACATTAAGCCATAGACTTAACAGGGTGATTTGACTGAAGGCTAATACATTGTATAAATCCAGCCATCCTGTTTGTGAAGCTTAGATTAGGGCATCTCAAAGGTGCTTTTTCAAGAGGCAACTGGACTTTATTGTTTTTCTTTGAAGATGTTTCACTTCTCAATCAAGAAGCTTCTTGATTGGGTGGTGGGGAATGGAAGGATTTATATTCCTTGCAGACAGCTGGTCATTTGCATTCTTTTAGAGAGTTGTTGAGGCCACTTGGAGGTTTGTCTTTGTCCTCAGGATGACCTGAATAGTGCAAATGGGTGTGGAGCCTTCTTGGAACTGCTGAAAGGACTATGTTGTAGCTGAAGATAGATGATGTCATATCCCTCCCCCTCTATTGAGATAGGGTTGCTCAATTTTTCCATAGATGGCCTCTTTGACCCCTCTTTCAAATCAGCTGTCCTCTCTGTCCAAAATGTGGACTTTGCTGTCTTTGAAAGAATGGCCTTTGTCTTTTAAATGCAGATGGACTGCTGAATCTTGACCAGGTGGGTTTGTTCTCCTATGTTGTGCTATACATTTATGAAGTGGCTGTTTTGTTTCATCAATGTACAGATCTGCCCATGGCTCACTGCATTGTACTGCATATATCACTTTGTTCTGTTTGTGTCTGGGTGTTTTACCCTTGGGGTAGACAAGCTTCTGCCTTAGTGTATTCTTGGGTTTAAAGTGTGCACGTATGTTGTATTGGCTGAAGATCCTCCTGAACTTTCAGAGGCAACTGTGAAAATGATGAACAAGGGAGGTGAACATTTTTGTTGTTTGAGACAGATGTTTCGAAAAATAACTGATGCCAAGTTTAAGGAAAGTATTTTTGTTGGTTCGCAGATCAGATACATCCTCAATGATAAGCAGTTCAAAGATCTGATAATGGGGCCAGTGAAAATAACTTGGAAAGTATTTGAGGATGTCACTGAGAATTTTATTGGTAACTGCCACAATGGAAAAATAGTATCAAGATAACTGGAATCCATCAAAGTTGGCTGATGGCACTGCAGTGAGTACAAATAAAAAACAGCAAAACACTTTTGATGAAGGTTGTGGCTTGGATCATATTTATATGGAAATACTTAGTGTAACCTTCATCTTAAAAGGAATTTAAAAAAGATATTATTTTTATGCCATAAAAGATTTTGTGGATACCCAAGTCTTTTTTGTTTTTTTAAATGAGTTGGTTGTACAACACTCAGGCACAGTTAGAATCATGTAACATTGGATAAATTTTTTTTCAAAAGCTTTGCTTATAGACCGTTCAAACTGAACACAAATATAATTTCAGAGTGACTGCCTCATGCAGGAATCCTGAGAAATATGCAATTAACTTTTAAAGACTATAATGTATTTAATCACTATTCCGACGTCTGATTAAAAAGGTTTTGCTGCTGATTTTTATTTGTAACTTATGTTCTGTTGCAAGAGAAGATCTGGATAAAACCTGTTTATTAGATTTATATCCTGCTTTTTGTACAGGAGTTTGAAGCAGCATACATAGTACTCCATCCTTCTATTTGTCCTTAAAATAGCAGCTCTGTGAATCGGTTGTGCTGAGAAAGAACAACTGGCCCAAGGCTGCCCAGTTACTGAGAATGGACTAGAACAGTGGTTCTCAACCTTTTTAATGCCACGACCCCCAACCGATCGTAAGTCGAGGACTACCCAACCAGTCGTAAGTCGAGGATTTTCCCTGCCCGGGACCGCCACACATGCATGGTGCCGCCCCCTGCACCGGCCGAGGTGTAGCTGGCAAGCGGCAGAGATGGCGCAGGCCAACCACCAGCTGGGCCACCAGCTAGCCCAGCCCAAGAGAGGTAAGGCACCCGCCGGGCCCCACGTGCACCAGCAACCCTCCCTGTGCCCGCTGGCCTCCCACCCCTGGCCCTCTTTTACTTACATTTTTAGTAGTTGCTCAGCAGGGAGGGGTGGAAACTTCCAGACAGCTCGCCTTCGCTGCAGACAACTTGCAACACCGTTTGCAGAATGGGACTTTTGGCAGGCTCAGCAGGGCAGAGACAGCCTGGACAATTCCTATTGGCTTTTGAAAGCCAATTGAATTAGACTCTATTCAAGAGAGTCTATTCTATTGGCTTTCAAAAGCCAATGGAATAAAAGGGAGTAGCACAGCTAAGGAAAAGGGGGGAAAAATGGCGGACTGCGTTGTTTGGCGACCTCCGTGAAATGGTCATTCAACCCCAAATGGGGTCCCGACCCACAGGTTGAGAACCACTGGACTAGAAGCTGGGCCTGTCTGCTCCAAATCTTAACTCCTTAACCATTACAATTCACAGGTTCTCATGTTCATGTAATTTCTTTTTTAAAATATTTTTATTAAATAATAACACATCCATTCAGTTATGGATTAAATAGTTGCCAAAAGGTGGCAAGGAGTAGTTGCATATATTATTCTTAGAATAGCTTCAGAAATTTTAATCAGGCCTTACTAACTCTTCCACACTCTTGTAGTTGGCACAAAGCCTTGCCCATCATGTCAGGGCCAAACAAGAAATGGTATTAAGATAAAAAGAAATGCAAAACTGTATTCATACAGTTACCATCAGGTCTACTGTATTTTAGTCCTGAAAAGGAACTTGCATATAAAAGATACTCAAACTGTGAATGAAAAGCAGGAGACCAAAATGTCCAGCATTCTGTACCTTCTGCAGCCAACTAGAAAACAGGACACAGGTATTCCTTGACTTACAACCACAATTGGGAATTTTGGTTGCTAATCATGGAGGTTGTTAAGTTAGCTGTACCTGATTTTATGACCTTTTTTGCCATGGTTATTAAGTGAATCACTGCAGGTGTTAAGTGAACTGTGTTGTTAAGCAAATCCAGCTTCCTCTATTAACTTTGCTTGTTGAAAACTGACTGGAAAGGTTGCAAATAGCGAATCACGTGGCCGTGAAATGCTTAACCATCATAAATATGTGCCAGTTGCCAAATGGCTGAATTTTGATTACATGACTGTAAAGATCCTGCAATGGTTGTAAATGCAAGAACTGGTACTAAGTCACTTTTTTCAATGCTGTTGTAATTTTGAACATCCCTAAACAAACAACAAATGGTTGTAAGTCAAGGAGTACCTATAGCACAAAAAGTATGTGAAAGCAGAATGACCCCAGCAACTGGCTTTTACCTACACTTTCTGATACTGAAATATTGATGCCAGTAAGTGATGATTATACACTTTTCTGGACAGCTATCTTAAACATTGTGCAAATGTTGCCAGCCTAAATTTTTAGGTAATTGTAACCTTTTCCCTCTGTTTCTTCTCCATTTATTCTTCCTCCTTTCCATTGTATGTTTTCTATTACAGAAATCTAACTACTGTTGCTTTTTTTCTAGATATCCCATGCTGTCCCGCCATGTTCACAGGCTGGTTAGAGATTGGGGCTTTTACCGGAATCATCTTCAAAGACATCTCCAAAATGCTCAAGCTTTTCTGTGCCTGAATTGTGTGGAGTACTATTCTTGGGCTTGCTACTCACACTTGAACCTTCAGAATTTTGGGGAGAGTTGGAGACATCCCCTGTTCTGGAACTTGCAGCTTTCTCCCAATCTCTGGCAAAACTATTCCATTCATTTTTGTACTGCAAAAATGAAATCCGAGGACTATGAACCAGTTTTTAAAAAAAGAAGAGACAGTGAGGTTCAGGACATTAGCTGCAGTGTTGAAAAAAATATAAACGTATCTTCTTTACATGAAAAATCATCATCTCCGCTTAAAGAAGGAAACATTCCAAGACCAAAAAGTAATGGGGCATTTTATTATGTTGATTGTTGGTCTTAATAGGATATGGATAATTAGCTGGTGTATAGAGAGAGAATTTGGATAATTTGTCTGATTTTTATTATTGCCCAACTTTGGGTGACAAACAGAATAAAAACATAACCCAGAAACCTCCCCCAAACCAAGAAAAGAGCCCCACAAATGCACATACACATATACCAAAGCCCCCATAACTAACATTCTTGAACAAAGAACTAAGTCTTCACAGCCTTCCTAAAGGCCAATTGGGTTGGGTCATATGCATCTCGGGGGTGTGTGTGTGGTTGTTTCATAGAGCAGGTGCAGGTGCCTGTGAGAGGAAAGGGACACTTCCTGGGATCCATCAGGTGACATTGCTTCATCAGAAGATCCAGAACATTCCCACTGCCACATCTAATGGGATGAGCAGAGATCAGTGGGGATCAGCAATCCCACAAGTAACCTACGTAAACAGGTCCCTAATTCAAGACATTGAGTGACATATTGAAAAAGATAAGTTGTTGCACAATGTCCGGTGTAAGTTCTTTGGAGGAACAACAGGCTATCATCTGATTTTAGTACCTCTCTTCTTCAACTACACTGCCTGGCATTTATTCAGATACTTAAAAATTATTCATAATTACTAGAGTTGTATGTAGATATCCCAGAGCACACTTTTTGGGGTCTTAGTAAATTATTTCTTCTTAAAGATACCTTCGGGAATCTTTTAGGTAATCTTGATATGCTATGCTATGCTATGCTATGAATAAACATTTCTGAGAATAAAGATGCCCCCACAATTTTTAAGTGGGAGTCAGTGTTAATGGAAAATAGTATTATACAATAAGAAAAAAAATAATTTGGCATCTTCTAGGTTTCTTCTTGATTATTGTTTATACATTGTTCTTGCTATGCATCTGGTAAATAGATCCAAATTTGAGTAGATTTACATTAACATACTAAGATCTATCATGAATTAAATTCAAATATATATTAATTTAAACCTTATTTCCATCCCTTGGTTTATTGTGTTTTGCCAGGTTTGATCAAGAGACATTGGGAATACTTTTGCCATCAAAATAAAAAAACAATTGTTGGAGACAAGATACAGGTCAACCAAGATGATAAAGACCCACAGACAAAATTTGATTTTACTGTAATGTCATACAACATTCTTTCCCAGGATTTATTAGAATACAACCCCCACCTCTATAAGCACTGCCAGCAGCAAATACTAGCTTGGAATTATCGTTTTCCCAACATTCTTGCAGACATCAAACAGCTTGATGCAGATGTAAGTAGAAAGCTGCCAGTAAGAAAACTGATCATGGATACATGGTATCGTTCTTACTGATAATAAATGTACACATATTACATATTACAAATTTAAATAAAAGTGAACATATATGTGATATAATTTATTTACTCTTTTTATTCATTTAATTAGATTTACATGCCCCCCAATCATGCCATAATGACCCTTGTTGACTTAAAAGTTAAAAACACCATATAAAATAACAACCAATATATAAAATCTACAATGACCACTAGAATAAAAATAAATGCAATAAATAAGAATACCCCTTGTCCTTCAACTAATCTCTCAACTCCCGTATCTAGGAACAAATCCAGACCTTCAAGGCTTTTCAAAAGTCAGTAGGGTCAGGGCCAATCTAATCTCAGGAGGTATGATGTTTCAAAGGACACTTATTTCTGACATCAAAACAAAAGTTTTCTTCATGAATCTTGACTTACTTTCTTGCAGTACAATGTTACATATGTTTACTTAGAAATGGGTCATTTTTAGGTGGAAAAACATTGAGAAAGCCAACACTTTCACAGAAAATCTGTTCCTTTTAGCATTATAATCTACCCTGAGCCTAAGAGTATTTACATAAATCTGCATAGCATCGTGATCACCTAAAAATCCTGTTGCTTTTGCTGGAAAAGCTACACATATGTTAACTCTGTCTCTCTGAAATCAGAAAGACTTGGAAATTCTTAACTTTGCTTGGATTGCATCCAATCCATTTCACCAATCCTTTATTTAATGTTAAATTGTCTGCATTAATTTTTATTACTGTATTAATTAGAATTCAAATTACTTCTAAAATAATAATGCTAAGTGATGACATGGATCTTTCACTGTTGCTCACTTGCTTCCCTACCCACAGGTACTGTGTTTGCAGGAAGTCCAAGAAGACCAGTATGGAGTAGAGATCAAGCCAAGCTTAGAAGCCCTAGGTACTATATTTCCGTTATATGTAACCAAAAAACCCTGCATAGTAAGACAGGGAGCTTATTTACTTAGTTATAAAACTGTAGGGAGTACTCTTCCTTAGTTTACACCCCTGCAGTTCTATTTACCCCCAGCTCAGTTTCAGTACTGGAAAGTGAGCAATTTGTAAGAAAGCAGCAACTAATAGGTTTGCTCTCTTTCCTATCCCACTCCAAGAAATAATCCTATTAGCAAACCAACAAATGCTTTTTAAATATGTGAAGATATACTGTATAATGGATTATTTTATATGCCATTCATTCTTCAGAAGTTGCTCATTGTGAAACCTTTATTTTGCCCAACCATTCCTACCTAATCATGACGCTAAATTGTTTTGCTTAATTATGTATTGTTAAATCATAAATGCTGAATTCGCACTTTGTGCTAATCCCTGATTTCTTTATCCATGCTTTGTTAAATCAACTATAATGAACAGGTTCACCGGGTGCTCTAAACCAAAAGTAAACTGCATTACAGATTAGCATGAGGCATAATTCTTGCTCTTATTTTATGCTGTAGTTCTTGGAAATCATGAAACTTGTCCTTGTCTGGTTTTCGTAGGCTATCACTGTGAATACAAAATGAGGACCGGAAGAAAGCCTGATGGCTGTGCCATATGCTTCAAGACCTCCAAATTTAGTCTTCTTTCTTCTAATCCTGTGGAATTCTTCCGTCACAATATCCCACTTTTGGACAGAGATAACGTGGGGCTAGTTCTGCTCCTGCAGCCTCGGTTTTCCTACAAAGCTCCCACAGCTATCTGTGTGGCCAATACACATCTCCTGTATAATCCAAGGCGGGGAGACATTAAACTAACCCAGTTAGCCATGCTCTTGGCAGAAATTACCAGTATTGCCATTCGTGAAGATGGGCGTTTTTGTCCCCTTGTCATCTGTGGTGATTTTAATTCTGTCCCTCATTCTCCTCTGTACAATTTCTTGACAGAAGGAAAGCTGAATTATGAAGGTCTGGCAATAGGAAAAGTAAGTACCTGTTTGTGAAGCTGTTGTGAAAACAAAGACAAACTAGTGTCCCTGAAAATTAGCCAGCAACAGTTATTAATTTCTTGCAATAAGCAACTGTAAGAGTAAAGATTGCACTAAGGCCTGTGCGAATTTAAAGCCTTGTGATGAGGAAATGGAAAAATTCAGGGGGAAAAATGGGGAACCTCTCTCCACCCACCCTCACCCACAGTATGTGACTAAAAAGCCCAGTTTCTGAACTTTTCACTCCCTCCTCCCCTATGTCTTCCCCTCTCTAATGGAGAATAAGCAGGCATACACTTTAAAGTTTGTATATCATGCCTTAGCTCATCCTGATCTGTGACATGAGGACTGCCACAGTTAAGAGGGTGATATGCACAAAGGATCATTGGAAAGCAGAACATGAAAATGACAACAGTGCATTAAGGGGTTGGCCCAGTAAAGCCTGCGTACAGATCTTAGTTGCATGAATGCTATTGTGAGTTCTTGGAGGAAAGCTGTGTTACACAAGTTTAAGACTATTTACACTATACTTTGAAATAGACAAAGCATTTTTACATTCTAAAATGATTCTTGAAATAATCGTCAAGAATGAATAGTAGCGGTGCTAAGTTTATATGTGACACTAGTTATTCTAGTGCAGACATGTCAAACTTGCAATGTCATGTGACGTCATGCAACGTATTGGGACGGTTTCACCATTGCCGGCAATGGGGTGGGCGTGGCTTCCGGATGACACATCCGGCCCTCTGGCTGGCAGTTTGACACTCCTATTCTAGTGGGTGGAACACAAAGCCATGAAGGGTTATTTTGGGAGAGCAGACATTTTGATTTCTAAGAATATAACTATATCTTGTTTTGTTTTGTTTTATTGTTTTTAAGGTGTCTGGTCAAGAACAGTCCCCAAGGGGCAATAGGATACTTAAGATTCCCATTTGGCCTCAAAGCCTTGGCATTTCTCAGGACTGCATGTACGAGGAACAGCAGAAACGCCTAGTAAAAGAAAGAGGTACCTTTTTTATCTTTATTTTTTTGGGAGGCCAGGGAGTGGCTTTCTGAACATTCTGTTTCTCTCAAAGATGATTGTTAAGTGTTAGAGACTGAATGTTTGTACAGGAGCCTAGAAAGCAAATGCAACAGAACCAGGATTGCCGTTTTTGATAGTTATTCCAAGTGCTCAGCTGTAGGTATGGGCAACTTTTGTACAGAGTGGGAATGAAAGAACTTAAAATTGTGTGAATGTCCCTGAACATATACACTAAATCTGTAGCTTCATGACAGAATATCTGCTTTATTTACTGAAAGCCATTATATGAATTTTTGATGCATTCTTTTTTTATATAAGTAGCAGATGAAATTATGGGGGAGAGAGCCACTGCGGCAGAAGCGAAATATTGGGTTGATCAGAGCTGGATAGAGTTTGGGGAACAGGAGCTTGCTTAATATTTTGAGGGGGTCTGAGGGCCACAAAGTAGGTGGGCAAGAATGGATTTTTTGTGAATTTTGGAGATGCTCTTGTTTTTTAACTGTAATAATGCTTGGTGAAACATGCAAGTAATAGATGTGATTTTATACCATCTCACTCACATTCTTATGCTTTCCTGTAGCTTTGTAATGCAGTTTACACGTACGTCTACCCTAACATTTCATCTCATTTATTGTATTTATTAAGGCCAGCCAAATCTATTGTGACTCTGAATGGCATGCAACATTAAACAGTTATAAATACAGAACAAAAAAACAAAAAACCCAGGCATCCAGAAGAAAAATGCCAATCTCTGAAAAGAGTCATAGAATACACAAGGGAAGTGACACCCACTCCAGCCCAAGGCCTGGGAGAAGACCCAGACTTTAAGAGATCTTTTAAACAATGTCTGGGGGGGGGGCATGAGGGGAGGCAAACAAATATCTGGGGGATTTTGTCCCAAAGGGCAGAGCAGACGTACATCCACTTTCATGGATCAGACCTTGACCATACCAGCTGTGCCTAATCAGGAACTTCAGGAAACTTCACTTTTAGTGCTAAACAATCATGATTAGAGGTGGATTCTGCTGCAGTGTATTAAAGGGGCAGATTGTTTTTAAGGCGCAACAGAAGTGGCTTCCTATGATGCAGTGTTCAGGACTGAGTTCAGATGCCATTCATTTCCCTCAAAGGTAGCGATATAATAATTATTCCAAAGAATTATATTTGGAAATAAGTGTTTCTGGAACACATAGATTATTTAGATCTGCTCTGTGTAGCATGAAAGTAGTTCAGCAGATGTTATTACTCCTGCCATTTTGGCAGGAAAAGTTATTTATAAAGACCTTTAAGAGCCAACATAGTTGCTTGCATCTGTATCACTGGCATTTTATATACAAAAGAGTTGCACTTATGAGGTGGACAGCTATGAAAGAGAGAGATGGTTGGTAGGTAGGTAGGTAGATAGATAGATAGATAGATGGATGGATGGACTTCTGTTTGCATTTGTAGCTCATGCCCAATGCTATGTACAGCGTCAATCTATCTTGAAGCTGTTCTTTTTGAGATTGGCTTATGATGTGAAACTGAAAAAAACCCTCAAATGGAGGACAAGTACTTTTTATAGAAACTGACTTTTCCAATTAAAATAATCAAGCAGCAAGTTATTTGAAAAAAATTCTACCTGAGGGTCTGAAAACATAAATGTTCAACTAAATAGGTACACTAAACTAACTGATTCTAATGTCAGGTTCCTATCATCAGTGTTTCTTTTTTCTAGAGAGCAAAGAGACTAAAGACGCAAGTTTAGAACAGTCAGAAGAGACTCTAATAGTAGCAAAAAGGTAACAACAATTTTTATTAATTTGCTTTTCAGTTATCAATACTTGAAGTACCCAGATTTAGCTGGATTTTTATAATTGCAAGCTTAAATTAAAGCAAAAACAATCCTAGAAGTATCATCAAACATGGACAAGAATTTGTGGGAAGGAAAGGGAAAATAGCATATTCATTCACTTTAATTAGCAAGGGTGATTTAAGAGATTGTGTAAGTGTGGTCAATATTATCACAGTAAAACTGCAGTGAAAGAAAGAGTAAAAAGACGGGCTTTCTCTGTTTCAAGTTTATTAAACCCCAACTAAACCGTATGGCAAAGGTTTTCACTTAAAAGTAGTTCAGATTTCTACCCAGGGATATATAAAACCTTATATATCTTATAAAACCTAGGTTAGTTTATTTTGTGACAACTTGATAGTGGAAAAAAGATGATCAGCAGATGAATCTTTAAATGCTGGAGTAGAGGGAGGTAGTCTGTGTTCCTGAGTGTCTGCATAGTTAGCTTTACATGTTGATAATTTAGATTTAGAAAGGTAGGTTTATGGTATGGGGAATATTCAGGTTTTTAATCACCTCTTCCATTTTAGGTTACCCACAGATTTACATCACAGCTTTCAATTGTCTTCAGTCTATTCTCATTATCTGCATGACAGTGGAGTTCCAGAAGTAACAACCTGCCACTCCAGAAGTGCAGTGACTGTAGATTACATCTTCTATTCTGCAGCAATGGACAGTGTTACTCAGGAACCAGGTAACCAAATCTGTACCAGACCTATGGCCAATTTGGAACATTTTCAGCCGTGGCAGAACCAAGAAGAAAGCAATATCTTTGGTTCCCCTGCAGCTTACAGTATCCTATAGATGTCGAAGAGAGTCTATTTACATGCAAGATTGTATTTGAATTTTTGTATTGCCCAAACAGATGGCTTAGTCCACTTCCTAACCTAGCATGAATATTTTGCAACGCCATCAACAAATAACATTTTTTTCCTTATCTTTGCTGTGGTGAGTTCCCTCTTCGCATAAATTCCATCCTCAGAATGGTAGTGATAAAAAAAAAATCTAGCTGATTCATACATACTTATTTCACTCAAGTTTAAGCTGCAGGTATGAACACCTAAAATTTTTGATTTCTGCAGAATTCAGGTTGTTGTTAGAGGGACAGAAGAAATTATTAGGGCTTGAAAAAAATGCATCCATGTCCTATTTTAATCCTGAGTGTTTTTGCTTGGAAGTAATGTTATGAATCCTGCATCTATTGTATGCTCATATCTTTTAGCAAATAATATGTTCCATAAAATATGGCCTGGTTTTGCTACTTCAGAAAACTTATCTAAATATTTAATCTAGCAATAGAAGGTCTGGCAATCATTCATTAAATGGTGCTAAAATATAAGCATGCTAAAACTCTTGGCTGCTGTTTGTGTATATTCCAACTGGTGCATCACACTTTCATTAGAAAGTTTTTCTCATGTTATCACATGCTCTTATATGTAGTTAGCAGAACAGAAAGCAACCTTCTTTAACAAAGCATTTTCCAAATGTACAGCTTTCCAACTGCCAAAATTCTTAGCCAATAAGGATATGGCTAGAAATTCTAGCAATTGAGGTCCACACTTCTGGATGCCCACATTGGAGAAAGGTAGTTCTTACTAATGTCAGACTCAATGATAGGACCATAATATATCCAGATTTGGCCAGAAATGGAATTGCCTGTCAAGCAGTTTCTGTATTCACATTGTATATATCTAAAAAGCCTTTCTTTCTTCTTCTTCTACTTCTTCTTCTTCTTCTTCTAGGAGTTGAGCTTCTTTTCAGTGGAGGTCTAAGTCTTCTGGGTAGACTATCATTGGTAACTGAGCAAGATCTGTGGGGAGTCAATGGACTTCCTAATGAAAGCAATTCCTCTGACCATCTCCCTCTCCTGGCTAAGTTCAGGCTGGAAGAATAACTTTTGGATGAAAATAATTGATATCTTCTCTCTCCTTCTCTCATCTTAAATTTTATCAAATCCAGCAAAAATGACTGAAGGTATTTTTAAAAGATCTACTGTAAATTATCAACATTACTCACATAAAGAAAAAGCAAACTACTTTTACATAGGGATTTCTTTTTTAATCAATGAAAATATTTGTGCTGTATTTAAAAATGTATATGCAAATGTATATGTTTTCACAGAAGTGGTATAAATTACTTTTTAAAATAAAAATATTATTGCTATGCTGGGGTTTTATTAGCACATTTTTTATTTTAAATTTCAAGGCAAATAATATAAGAACACGTATCCCTATATTCTTTCATGGAAAGAGATCTCAGGATATCTTTAATTTGGCCTATGGAGAAGCCATAGATCTTGCAGGTAGAAACAAAAGTGGTACAGCTTTCCTTGACAAGGAAATGCAGCAAACGACACCATTACCATTTATGTGGATAATTAGAGTTACAGATATGTCCAGGACTACTATTATTGCCATCACTACTATAATAGCATCTCAACCTGGCCTTGTTTCATAGATCCAATTGTTGGTCACATCGCTTGAGGGATGGTTTACAAACCTTGCATATGAGACAGCTGTTGGACACTCTCTTAGAAAGTAGGAAGGCAACTTTGGAAGCTCTGCTCATTTAAAAGGCGTTCTAGTTATATACAAATAAAATATTGCTAAGTACTGGAGGTCTAAGACAAAATCTTTATCAAAAAGGCTGTTCTGACATATTCTCTGATAAAGTGGGCTCTTAGATGCCAAGCTTCAGTATTTCTGCTCAACGAGAGTCCGACAAATTATGATGATATCCACATATTTTCTTTTAAACAGAGCAGAGCTAATTAACTGCATTTGAATACATACAGCAATGAAAAGGATGTACCTGATGTCTTTGTTATAAAGGTTGCTACATTAAAAAAAAAAAATCCAGACTCAGTTCTTCCCTATAGAGAATTGATTGAACAGATGGAAATGCAATTCATTAGTTTAATCATCCTAATATAATTATCCCTCTGCACTCTGAAAGCACCTTGGGGGAAGATGCTTGCTAGTAGCTTAATATGTCACATGTAACATATGCAAATATGCTTTGGATTGTATAGCTCATTGATAAAAGTCAGCATGTTTTCAGCAGAACCTATTTGTACTGAATGTACCCTCATGCTGTTAAGTGTTTTGGATTGTAACCTAAACTTTACTCCCTACCCTTATGGTAGAATTTTAAAGACTTACTGCTTTGATTGCTGAAGCAACCCTATGAACATGTTGGTGTGGAACGTCAATAGTGCAGCAATTAAGCATATGCTTAGCAGACCCAATTTTCATTTTTTTAGCATCCCTGAGAGATACCAGTTGGAACTGCTGCTTGTCAGTATAAACATCACTGATTTCGATTTGTAGACTAATACAAGGCAAGGTAGCTTCCTATATGTCAAGGAGAACCAATATTTTTCCATCTGGGGCTAAACCTTTTTGTGTAATTACTAATAAATAGGCTGTAATATTTAGTCTTGTTTTGAAAGAAGTTTTAAGATTTTAGTACATGAAATTGGGGGTTTAAGCCTGTGTGTGTGTGTGTGTGTGTGTGTGTGTGTGTGTGTGTGTGCGTGCATGTGTGCCTTCAGCTCAGTTTTGATGCCTGATGACTCCCTGGACTAATTCTTGCAGTTTTCTTGGCAATATTTTTTTGCTATAGCCTCCTCCTTAGACTGAGAAAGAGTAACTAGCCCCAAATCACCCAGTTAGCTTTTTGCCTAAGGTGAGGCTAGGATTCATAGACTCGTTTCTTCTAGTCTAGTGCCTTAACCACTATATTAAACTGGCTCTCATTTTAAGATTTACTATTTTACTTTATGACCCAACCACATTCCCTGTGTGTCTTTCATGAGTGTCTAAAACAAGGGTGTCAAACTGCCAGCCCATGGGCCGGACGTGTCACAAGAAAACCGCACCCACCCCATTGCCGGCAATGGGGAAAAAGTTCCGACACATGATGTTGCGAGTTTGACATGTCTGGTCTAAAATACATTATGTGCACTTGTAAATACAACAGTAATAACTGAGCTGTTCTAAATCACAAAAACCCTCAACTATCTTACAAAAGATGTTCCGATTATGATGGCTGATAGATGAGCAGAGAGTTAAGTGATAACCTGCTTGAATTTTTATGAATGTGCTTTGTGAACCTGCAGAAAAGATATGTGTTGAGCACAACCATACTCAGCAGGCAGAGTATAATTGTCCTCACTTGTTCTTTCCATTTTGCTGTGGCTAGTAGAAAAAAAATTAATGATGCAAAATTAGCATATTTGCATGATACATTCAAATTGCATAAATAGTGGTTTTACTGGTGGCACGTAAAAACTTATCTGGAAATATTTGTACTTGACTTTTGGGTAAGACAGTGGCAAACTAAGATGTCTCCAGAGTAGTAGAGACAATGTGGCCAGAACCACTTGCTGGAAGCAAGATCATGAGTCATTTCTTTATTCTTTTTTTTTCTCGTCCCTTTTTCTTAATTTTGTATTTCTTTCAAAAAAAATTTTCTTTCTGATTCTAAGATTTACCTGAAAAAACAGATTTACTTTGTTTTTCTGTACCTTCTAGTAAACTACCCCTTCTATGTGGAATTCCTCACATGAAGCTCTAGTTGATACACACACACACACACACAATTGAATCGTTTTGCATCAGTTATATAAACTCTATAGCTATATTTACCTTAAAACAATTTGCAAATACTTTGTTTTTTTAAAAAAGAGTCTTCTAAGACATTTTATTAAAGTTTCATGCTGCACAAAACATACATGTGATAAGAAAAGAAAAAAATCATGCATGCTTCATATTTGAAACAGAATCCCATTTGACAAAGTAATGACAATACAAGCTTAGTCACCAAACTCACAATTTTTAAAATTTTTAAAAAAGATGGGTACATGTTGCTCTAGAATGTATGTGTACAGAAGGAAAACCATAGTCCTGGATACAAAGGATAAAAAGGGTTTGGAAAGATAGCTAAAATCTGGTCATATTTTTCCTGCATCATGCCCATTAATCTTGAGAAAACTGGTGCAAGCAAATTCCATAAAGGATTATGCTCAAACACTTCAAATACATAATAAATATCAATTTTAAAAAGCAAAATCACCGTTAGGGGTTTCATAATAGATAGTCATTGATTACCAAAAAAATGCTATTTTTTAAATTAGCATTTTTTTCTTCAATCGATTCCAAACACTTACTTTAAAAAATTGCTTTAGGTTATCAGTAAGTTAGAATTTACCAGGAACCCAATCTCAAAAGCTGAAATATAAGATCCATCACTTCTACTACATGAAAACTATTCTTTTCCTCCATTTACTTTTAGCAGGGTAGTATCATGCGCTGGATGTGGCTTTCTTTGTCTATGAATATGAAGTCCCACCATTCTCACACAGACCTAATTATTTCCATGGTAGTTGCTCATCACTTTGTCTTCATAGCAACCATCACAGAAATAATAGAAAGTCTTGTTCTTATTGCTGTTACTTTGGCACAAGGAATGGCTGATTCTAGAAGATACTATGAGTTGCTAGTTGAGAAATGCACTCACATACCACTCTGATCTCTTAACTTGTATACTAGAAACTTATATTATGGTTAGGCTCTAGATAGGAAGTTATATATTTTGAGTGAATCTGGTTACATTAAATTAACATTGCTTTGGGATACATGTAACAAAACTAGTGAGTTATGCTGAGCTACTATGCTCTTGCCTCTTTACTTATTTACATGATTACAATAAGTGAAGAGGATAGGATTATCATATCTGGGTTACAGAATTCTAGATGACCATTAGATGGCATCAAAGAACATCAATTTAAAGCCATCTGATGGCCTTCTAGATTTTGCAATCCAGATATGGTAACTAGTGTTAGATCTGCATCAGTTCACAGTTATCCAGCAGCTTCCCCCATCCCCAGGGAACAAGCTAATTAATTTATCTTTTATCCAAAATAACATATCCTTGCTGCATTGTGAAGATACTTTCCTCTGGGCATGGATTTATTTATTCACTTTGATTTGAATTCAATGTCTATAGATGGTTGTTTTCTTCAAGCACACTGACCATAACTTCAAGTGGAATGTTTGATTATGATAACAGATGTTAAGACATCAGCATAACACAAAGAGTAGTGCATTCTTAAGATTCTGGTATTGTTTTAAAGGATTAAACACACAAATTGACTTTTACTACACTGGTCATCTGTACAAAACAATGAACTCTAGTCTTCAGCGTGATCCAAAATTTCCCCTTTTTTTCTATTCTGAAGAATGCTCTCAAAGCAAAATGGAAAATGCCTATTATACATGTGAAGCACCAGTAACGTACAGAGAACAGGATTAGTACTGGCAGATTCTGGGCTTGTTTTGTATACAAGACCACATGGATTCACACCAGAACCATTTGTGCTTTGACCACGGAGGTTAAGACTACATGACAAAAAATACTGCAAAAGGTTGGCTATTTGCTTCTTGTGAAATCATTATTGAATCAGGGATTTTTTTAAGGTAGGCAATTAACTTCAACAGTTTGTTCAATCTTAAACAGAAGACTTCAGTGCTTTTAAAGAGACCTCCTTATCATAATACTTGAAATTCCTTCACTGTACACATGCACATAAGGCAGAAGGGGTGGGCTCTGCTACCAGAAAAAACTGGGAACACAGTACAAATCCATTACAAAATCAAAATACTGTTAGTTTTGCATATTTGTAGTAAAGATTCTTGAGGTAATGTTGATATTTTGAAGAAAAATAAAAAGAAACCCCGATCACATAAACTCTTGATATTTTATTGCTGAATGTCACGTTGAATGAGGTCCGGCAGCAATTTCTGTTTTGTTAAGCTCCACTAAAAGGGATCATAGGGTTGCAAACTTCATTCTTTTCAATGAGACTCAGACAAGCAAAGTTGATGCCGGGCCATGCCTTTTTCTGACTGCAGCTTACCACCCCCCTCCCAGCCTTTTTAAATACCATGGAGAAAAATACTTCCAGCATTGTCTTTCCTAATTCCTACAACACCACACGATGCTCCAAGCCAACAGAAAAGAGAGCCACCACAGAAACAGTAATTTCCGTCCAAAAGAAAACCAAACCACACTAGTATCCCCAACACACACATATTTTTCAACTTGATGGAGAGTAATAGTATTATCACAGCTGAAGACGGTTTCTAATTTCTCTTTTCCTTGATTCCACTTCCTGAATTGAAACATAAAAAAAAAAAAAAAATACCACCATAGTCACTTCTAGGATTCCTACTTTCTTGGTGAGATCATAAATAAAAACCTTACATGTTCATAATAAATAGTCACAGCTTCCCACCCCTCCCCCCACATATCACAGGGTAAAGTGCGGCAAGAAACACTCCAGAAGCCATCTGGTTGGGCTTCTGGTTTTCTCAGATGCGTAGCTGGTAACCGACTTCATTCAATGTAGAAAGGTCACCCACGTTTTTGTCCAAAACAGCTGGCCTGAAATCAAGAGAGAGAAACCAAATTTAAAGTTTAGAACTAAATAACATGAAACACCAGAATGGAATCACTGCCAACAATTGCATCTATATTAGGGATTTGCCTGCAATGCATCATTCATGTTAATGTTTGCTAAACCATATAGTCTAAAACAGTGTTTTTCAAACAAGACAACTTTAAGATGTGTGGAGTTCAACTCCCAGAATTTCCCAGCCAGAACTAGCATCTTAAAATTGCCACATTTGAAAAACATTGGTCTAAACCAATGTAACCACTTTCAGAGGCATCCAGGTAGGAGTGAAAAAGTTAAGATAATGGCCTCAATGAATGGAGGCCCTAGCCCTTGTTTATTATATGCCACATGTATGTGTAAAAAGGGGTAGGACTTCAACTGGACATTCTCACTACCATCTTGTCTCTCACTGTGGACATCCTGTTTTTCACATAAAAACTGTTCAAAAAATACTCTAAGAAAATTAAGAAGTACTTTAAAATTAAGCTTCAAAGTAGATAGCCTTGTAGACTGTGATTATCTATCATGCTTGGATTTTTAAATACAAGATACTCTGCATGAAGAGATAATTTCACCATGACTGATTTAATCTTTGCCTCCCTCACGCAACACATAGCAATTTGTTCCCACTGATCTGTGTGACTATTGACATCGGCTTTACAAAATGAAGATGAACTGCTTCCACTATTACCACATTTCACCATTTGAGGGTTTGGGCTACACATAGTCCTTGACTTACAACAATGCATTTAGTGACCGTTTGAAGTTACAACAGCACTGAAAAAAGTGACTTACAACCATTTTTCACACTTACAATCATTGCAGCATACGCATGGTCACATAATCAAAATTTGGACACTTGACAACTGACTCATGTTTATGATGGTTGCAGTGCCAGGGGCCATGTGAACATCATCTGCAACCTTCTGACAAGCAAAATCAATGGGAAGCCAGATTCACTTTACAATCATGTTACTAACTTAACAGTGATTTAACAACTGTGGCAAGAAAGGTCACAAAACGGGGCAAAGTTCACTTAACTGTTTTGCTCAGCTATGGAAATTTTGGGCTCAATTGTGGTTGTAAGTCAAGGACTTCCTGTATAACTTTCATTCTTCCCAACTAGCTTTAACCACAGCTTTGATGACTGAAAGACCTTTGAGCCATTTTCTTTGAACAGTCTCACAATACACTGGACAGGCTGTAATTTTAATTTCAAATTTCAGCAAATGGCACCAGATAAGGCCTCCCAATGATTTTAGAGTTGATAAAATCTTCAAGGAGAGTTTATCTCCTGATGGCTTCATGGATTAGCCTTATAATTTTATTAAAATAACACAGAAATAGTTTGGTATTGCTTTTTCCTGGATATTTCTCAGACTTTTCAGTCAAAAAAGATTTCCTGATAATCTCCTAGTCAAATAAATAACTAAGTCCAACCCTGATTAATTTGTCAAGATCAGCTACTGCTTACTAGTTATCTTCAGTTAAGCATTTTTCCCGCCACAATGGGGAAAACATCTTATTTGACATCCAATCTCTGAATAAATCCATTTAAAGCCTTTTGTTGTGGCACTCACAATGTTATCATTTTAAAACAAATTGGGAAATGTGGTGATATTTGATTTGTCAAATTTTTGAAGCAACACTTGATATTGCAAGTTACTATTGTTTTTTATTACTCTCAGGTCTCAGAATATTAAAAAAAAATGCCTAATTTAAAATCAGGAAGTAAAGCCAGAATAAGAGCCAGAATCTGCACCAAAACCAAAAAAATGTCCCAAGTAGTTTATTTAATGGGTTTTTGCGCTGTAACATCTTACAGCTTTTTTTAACTTCTCAAATTCAGGAAGGACAGCTCCCTGATACTTTGGAAACTGTTGCCCTGCTGCTACTGCCACTCTGTCAGCAGAAAAATGCTTTCTGCAATTATACCCTTCCTCTGCTAGATTTCAGAAAGGCCACCAAAACCAGGTGCTCCCTTCTGTAATTTGGAGTTTAAATTAGAATGTTATTTATCTCTGGCACTTTAGTTTATATTCTATAGTTATTTGTGATTTAGTGTGTATACTTTTTAATCACATTTACATAAATAGGGTATGTAAGCCGCTCAGAGTTAAATTCAAGTGCAGTGGCATATAAGCCCTGTAAGTAAGTAAACAAATAGATATTAAATAAGTAAAATGCATTAAACTGCCATTAACAGTGTTGTTTTGCTTCTTTTAGATTTTGGTGATTTATGTCACCAAATTTCAGTGTTTGGCTACCAAATCTGAATGGCAAAGGGCTGGGTTGGGGGTGGGGGATCACATGAGGTTTTCAGGATGATTGATCTTCCCTACTTTACTGTCAAAAACCAGTCAAGGATGAGGTGCCAAATAGCCTGTGCTTGTTACACATGCATACACACACAACCCCATGCATTCTGAAAGTAGCTTGTAATGCTGTATTTGGGTAAAATAAAATCTAATGTGAACTTTGGGCTTGGGAGAAGCTTATCGAATCTCATAGCTGGCTGAAAAAAAATGATCACAGCTTGCTATGGAGGAGGTGAAGTTTCCCCAACTGTGTATACCTAGCTGCTTATTCAGTCCTTGCCAGACCAACTATGCAGCCCAGGGGCAGACTGTTTCATACCCTGCCACTTCAGCAGCTACATTCACCTTGTTCAAATAAAAAATGCATAAACAACAAGTCGAAGCACCCTTGGCAGAAGTTACTTCAGCAAGCAGAGGAGGAGGGTGGAGGAATTGCTCTGGAATATAAATTACAACCTTCTACTTACTTTACTAAAATAATCCTATTGCATGTAAGAGGTTTATTTGAATTACAGCTGAAAAATGATAATCACCAGTCTTTCAGTGGCTTTAGAAGACCTTTTGTCCCCTAAAAACTGTTTGAAATTTGCTGAGTTCAGAAGACTATTTAAGAAATTTTTTAGTCAATGTGTTACAAATCAAAGCACATACATAACCAATGCTTTAAGAATCAGCATCAGCACATTAATCAAAACTAGCACCATATTTTAAGAATCACAATACGTAAGTAAATTTAAATAGACATTTGTTTAAACAAACATGATTAAAGCTTCCAACCATCTATGAACTGGATCACTCTGTCTAAGCTGAGATGAAAATCCAGAGTCATGTATAGATCAGCAATATGTAGAGGGCCATTGTTCTGCATCTCTACTAACAGATTATAGCAATACCATATTATGAAAATCACATACTCTGTAATAGTATGTGGGAAAGACCTTTGGAGACTGGGCAAAGAGATGTTATTAAGGGAACAGTCAGATAAGAGACAGCACAGCCCACCAATGGCTAGTGGGAAGAGCAAAAGGCTCTGAATAGACCCTCCCTAGTTTCTTGGAATGTAAAGGAAATAAGGGAAGAATTGTACTTTCAGACTTGCATGGTTATGTCAACCTAGCTTTACAATAAAATAAAATTAGCTCATCTGGTTGTGATTCCTATTTAGTTAACTCCAATGAGGTCAGTATCAAGGAGGCCATGTAGAATAATCCATCTGTCTAAAAGAGAACATCAAGGAAGACTTTCTAAATGAGATGAAGAGAAGGGATTGTAACTGTGTGCTTGCAAGACTGATATCAGCCTCATGGGGTAAACCAGATAGGAATCACAGTACAGTACAGTTCCCACACACCCACCTCATTTTCTTTACAGCCTGACAAACTAAAGATGGTCCCTTCTGAACCACTTGCCCTGCCCACTATAATCTGACTGTCTCTTATCTGATCTTTCCCTTGGCAGTGTCTCCTTGCCAAATCCCTCAGTCTTTCCCACAGTCCATTACACACTCTAATCCAGTGGTTCTCAACCTTTCTAATGCCGTGACCCCATAATACAATTCCCCATGTTGTGGTGACCCCCAAGTGGGTGTGGCCACCAATAAGAGGGAGTAGGACAGCTAGGGAAAAGGGAAAAAAATGGCGGACAGCGTGGTTTGGCGACCCCCGTGAAATGGTCATTCGACCCCAAATGGGGTCCCGACCCACAGGTTGAGAACCACTGCTCTAATCCAATGCTTTGTGGGCATTCAGTCCTGATAAATTCAAATCTCTTCCTTTCAAATAATGTGCTAAAAAAAATTAAAGGATCCAATCTGCAGAACCCTCCTGGGTTTGGAAAAATTCAAGATGCCAATTGACAATTCCAAACAACAGGGAAGCTGCAGTTAGCACTCCAAAAGAGGCTGCTTGTTCAGCTGACATCTTAGTCAAAGAGATAACCATCCCTGCTCCAGGCATATGTGTCATCCTAGCACCTGTGAAACAGCCCCCAGATACATGAGGCTGAAAATACCCCCTAAAAAGGCAGGAAGGAGATTGAACAGAGATTTGTAACCTCTGATAACTATAATTATCCAGACACTAAACATGGAGAATTCCAACCAAGAGGCTTCTAAGAATGTTACACTATGAATCCATGTATAAAATAGCAACCTGCAGTTAACTGAGCAGCTGCTGTGAATGCCAAATTATATTTAGAGAGGGAGCTTACAGAAATGTTTGGCTGTTTAAGGAACAAATAAAAAGCCTTCACAATAGTTCACAATAGTTCTGGAGGATATTATCATTAAGTTGCATGGAGTTCTTGTGGATGTTGTCATTAACTTTTCACTGAAGTTTTATTCCAGAGACTGGCCACTCTATTTGGTTTGGTGGACAGATCTGGAATTCAAGAAATGTCTTCTGGATATTCACATAAAATGGCTGCCATACAAGGGCTTGTCTACTGACAACATGGCTGCCAATAGTAAATGATATTTAAGAAGCCAAACAACAGAAATTGCTTCCTGCCATTTTTATAGCCCCTGCTCTGCTCTCTGTCACACCAGTTCACTCTTGTCTTTTCTTTTTTTTCCTGGACAGATGGGTCCATTTCCCAAAAGGGACCAACTATAGCCATTCGCCATTAACATTTTTTAAAGAATATCTATGTGATTCTAGGCATTCCTATAATGGTTGAGAATGGCATTCTGCTTTGCAACAGATCTTGTTCCCATTAAATTCTTTTATTTGCAAAAGGTTTTACCTGACAAACTTTGGCAGCAGAGATATTGGCAGGCCCTAAGGTCCATCGGCATGGGCACACTTTTGCCCACCCCAGCTGCAATTTAAGAATCTTCATGCAAACCTTCACCTAATATATTCCAATGATATCTGTATAGCTATTTATTTATAGTACAGTGATGATGCCTCAAGAAATATTTACCAGATGTAATAGTCAAACATGTATTTCCCATAATGGCCAAAGGGTAGTTCATGGGAGAAAAAGAATCCTTAAAAGAAATTATTGTGATAAGTATTATCCAATCCGACACTGCAATTTCCAGACACATCTGGCATTTTTCATTTAGAAATAAAGTGTGGTCAATTAACTTATAATTAATCTAATTTCCAAAGTTCAGAATACTATCACTATGAAAGAATATTCAATTGATACCTGAAGACTCCTGATAGCCGAATAGGACTCAGTTTCTGCCTAAAAAGATTGAGAAAGCAAAATCTGCTAAGATATATACTTGAGAATATCTACTATGTTTCAACAATTCTCTTCTTCAGTTATCCTTCTTTTGCATGTTTCATTAAAGTTACTAAGCATTACAGCACTAATGTCAACTTATTTAGGCAATTTAACTACGCTTTCCATTGCAGATATATTAAAAAATAAATCTATGGCTGATCATTATTTCTACATTTCTGTCTTGAAGGACCACTTTCCTTATTCATCTGTTTGCTGATGAATCTAAAAGTGGACTTCCCGTCAGGGAAAAGGTCATGCTATCTGAGAATAATGGGAATTTTAGCTGGAGGTTACCCGGTTGACGGTAACTTTCATAAATAATTTGTTCTAAAATCACTGGGTCTCTAAGCCAGTTTTTCCTCTCATCAACTTTATGATGTGTGGACTTCAACTCCCAAAATTCCCTAGCTAGCACAGGGAATTCTGGAAATTGAAGCTACACATCTTATAGTTGAAGGGGCTGAAAAATGCAGCTCCAAATCTGACAAAAACCCAAAGCATTCACTCCATTTCCACTGGAGCTTGCTTAGTCCCTCAGATTTTTATCTACTCACTAAGTGCGCATTTTAGAACAAGATGTTTATAAATTTAACTTTTTTACTGGAAGATTGAGACCCATCAGCGAGTGGTTGGCATAAATAACAGCTCTTGGGAGTTGCAAGAGCATGCTCTTAAAATTAGAGAAGCAGATCTCTTGAGCTCATGAGTGGCTTGTTTTCGGCACCATAACCATATACACAATTCTTGCATACAAAAGTCCATCTTAGTCTTGGCCCAGTCTTTTGTAATTCCAGCAGCCTGGAAAGACTTGTGATCAGTGTTCTATCAGCCAGCCTTCTGGATACTTCTGGATACAATACTCCATTCCTTATTCCCAACAGACACAAAGCAGGTTGATTTCCTCATTCTGTTTATTCTCCTAACTTTATTTATTTATGAGACTTATATACTGCTTTAAGTGCAAGCACTCTCTAAGCGGTGTACACCAGTAAGCAATGTGTATATATATATATATATATATATATATATATATATCATTGCCCCCAACAATCTGGGTCCTCATTTTACCTACCCCGGAAGGATGGAAGGCTGAGTCAACCTTGAGCCGGTGAGATTTGAACCGCTGACCTGCTGAACACAGTCAGCTAAAGTGGCCTGCAGTACTGCACTCTAACTGCTGCGCCACCTCGGCTCATTGTTAACTTTGTTAACAATTGTTAACTCCATATATTAACTTTGTTAATATCTTCTGCTTTAAAATTTGTCAACATGTAGCTCTATTTTATTACTATCAGGGAATAGGTAAATTTTATGTTACAAGAGGGAGATCTGGCTGTTCGGGATCCCATTTACTTCATTCCATACCTCCTCAACGGGTTTTCAGTTTCCTCTCCAATCATTTGTCAGCATCCCATTGATGCTCTTAGTCTTCACTGGGCAACTTAAAAAAATCCTTTCCACAAGGATGCTTTTCTACATAGACTAGCAAACTTTGTAATAATCCCCAGCCTGTTTACATAACCTTTTAAATACATGGAGCCATTTTACTGACCCACAGTTTCAACACTGGAAGCAGCAGAAAATGTCTGGGAGCCAGAAACCCCTCTTGATCTGCAGCAAACTGTCCAAACATCACTCCAGGAAATACATAACTACCCCCCACCCAGTTTTCCACTCTCACAGCTGTAGATTATAGAGAGGAGATTTGGTAGAAAGTGCACCATATAATAATTTGGTTAAACCGTTTCATCTAGAAACATCTATACTATCTCTATCATCTCTATGAAATACATACACAAATAAGTATACATGCATACACACATAAAGTATCTGAGAAATCTATATGTGCTAGCATGAATTCTATCATGGCAGATAAACAAAAAATAAAAGCAAGAAATAAAATTAATTATGGTAAACACATTGTTTTCCCAAGAAGGCAGTTATTTTAAAAAATGCAGATTTCCAAAGAACTCTGATATTTCCTAGCGCAAACGCAGATTCTGAAATCCTAGAGCATACTACCCATGTCTCATCGTGTCACAGAAACACTCAGAATAGCAACACTCACGATTTGTCTCTTCGACAGGTCCGCCTCTGAGGGCTGGCTTGTCTTCGTCGAGGGGACAAGGACTTTCCTCGGGATCTCTGCTTGACTGGAGAATGGGCACTTGCAGGTTTCAAAATCTTGAAAGAGAAAAATGATTTATTTCAGAATATGTTTATTCATAATAGTTGGCTTTCACTATGCTTTTATATTTTAATAAGTCATAAAAGATATGTAATGACCTCTCTGATACAAATATGTGAATTTGTATTATGTTTTTCACTGTTTTTATGACAGATACATGGAGAACATCCTTAGACCAGGATTTCTCAACCATAGTAGCTTTAAGACATGTGAACTTAAATTCCCAGAATTCCTGACCAGCATGCTGGGGAATTCTAGAGATGGAAGTCATCTTCTTAAAATATCTTAAAGTAGCCAAGGTTGAAAAGCACATGCTTTTCATCATGTCCAATGGTTGGTCTAGATGGCTCAAAATTGTTTATGTTGGAGGGAAAGCTCCCTTCAAATCTTTTTTGTTTGTTTGCTTTTTGAAATGCACTCCCACATTCCCATTGTTCTGGATCATGTAACCCTGACTAGAGCATGTAGATCTGTATGTTAGAACAACTATGCTGATGACCTTTTTTGGCTGTAGATTAACACAAATTGGTGGACATATAATTTGAGGATACCACATTGCCAGTCTCTGGCCCACAATAACTTGTTACAGTTCTTCTCTAGAGCTTCTGTGCCTGTTTTCCAGTCTAGCTTGAAGCATCAGAGGATTGTTTCTGAGATCTTTCATGTTCAAAGCATTGATTGAAAAGCAAATAAAAAAGGAATAGAAACCCAGTATCTGTGAGCCACCAGGAATTCCTTTTCATTATCTCCTGAAAATGTTGGGAAATGATGCCAGTAATATATATTTTTCCTGGAAACTGTTCCTAAAATAACCTCTCAGTAATCCATCATTACTAGAAAAATCATTTTTCTCGTATAATTTTTATTCCATATTATTACATAAGTAGTCCATGACTTATGAGCACAACCAGAACCAGAATTTCTGTTGTTAAGCATGGTGGGTTTTAAGTGAGGAGTGTCCCATTTTATGGCTTTTTTGGCCATTTTTGTTAAGCAAAAGTTGTTAAATTAATCATATGATCATTAAGCAAATTCAGCTTCCCCGCTGATTGCTTGCCAGAAGACAGCTGAGAAGGTTGCAAATGGCAATCAGGTGTCCCTGGGACACTGCAACTGTCATAAATACATGCCAGTGGCCAAAAACTCACATTTTAATCACATGACAATGGGAATACTGCAATAGTTGTAAGTGTGAGGACTGGTTGCAAGTCACTTTTTTAGTGCCATTGTAATTTTGGATAATCACTAAATGAGAGATTGTAAGTCAAGAACTACTTGTACTTGGGAACAGAAGTGTAGAAATTAGCCTCTTGATTGAGAAAGTTAATCTTCAATGAATTAGAAAAACTGTTACTTAAATCTACAATCTGTATGCAGCAGTATCATTATCCCAGAGATACAAACAAAAATTCAGTAAAGTTTGAAAGCCACAAGTTCAAGTTTACATTGAACAGCTGATTGTCAGAAGAAAGTATTTATGGGAGGCATGTGCTAAATCAATATAGAATTACTAAGGAATAATTTGTTTAGGCAAACAAATATTCCCAAAGAGCATATACATATACAGTAGGCACACACCTACACATAGATCCGCCATCCCACAACCCATTTACCAGTTGCCTATAAAAAAGGTGAATGTGCTCAGCTGATCACCAAGTCATTCTCAATTGCTACAGTCTGCATTCTATGGGCTGGAAGACAGGGTCATGGTAGTGGATTAGACGCCAAACAGAGACAAAGGGGGGAGACATGCAAAGAACTACATGATCCCCCTAAGCATAAACATGTAGATTAGAAGAAACCTAATTACTGCGAAAGGTAATACATCTAAGCAATAACACCACTGTTTTGCTGTCAAAGATATAAAAATATTGGGGGAAGTCAACCTACACAGAGAAATCTTCTCCAGCATTAGATTTAGATACATACCCATAAACAAGTATGACTAATAATGAAGTTAGTCTGTGAAGCATCATCAATACAACAAAGCAAAGGTTTAGAGTACTCTAAGATTGCAAAAATCAAGCATGAATAAAAAGGAAAATTCAAAATAACTCAACAAGAATTGAGCAAACTCAGGGGGTACTGCAGGTCTCACACATACAAACTTCCATTGGAAAACAATAGTTATAAAGTCAAAATATCTGGCATTATTCCCTCCAGAAAGCTGGAGCTTTCAGACTGGCAAGGCCATGCTGAGCTTAATACACACAATTGAAACTGTTGCCCACAGGTAACCCTTGTTTCAAAATCCAACGGTTCAGCAGTATTTATCCACTAGCTACATCCTAGTTGTATAAATCTGGATAACTTTTAATGGGTCAACCAACAGGTTAAAAAAAAAGCCATTTGCTGCTACAGTTGGTCAATCAATAGTTTTCTTAAAAAGAAAAAAAGAGAATTTCAGGTGAGAATCAGTGAAAGTGGAGAAAAAAATGTAGGGCATGGAATAACCAGAGCCACTGGGAGAGTTTTTTCCTCTACATATTGGATGACAATGGTCAGGGCTGGAGTTTCAGCAAAGAAAACTCCCTAACCTCCTTTGGACCTTGTACGTGAGTGCTGAATGGACAGCAGAACAGCACAGATCTATTCCAGGCATACAATAAGGCAGTGGTGGCGAACGTATGGCACGGGTGCCAGAGGCGACACTCAGAGCCCTCTCTGTGGGCACACGTGCCGTCGCCCCAGTCCTACGCCTTCAGCTGGGTTTTATAAAACCTTTTCGCTTTAGGCCTCCATTGCCGTGTCAAAAAAAAAAAAAAGGTTCAATCAGTCAGTTTCAACTTCTCACAGGAAAAAAAAGATCTTGCAAAGTTGGAATTGATTGATTGAACTTTTTAGTCCTACCCAGTCTGAGCCACGCCTACCCAATTGGCCACACCCACCCAATTGGCCACACCCACCCAGCACTTGACGATGCATAAGTGGGTTTTGGGTTGCAGTTTGGGCACTCAGTCTCTAAAAGGTTCGCCATCACTGCAATAAGGGTACTGCCAGCTCCAGGATGGGATGGGAGTATAGCAAAGTAGCCATGTAGACCAGGCCATATTCGGGTTTTTTACCTGCATTGATCTTAGATGAAATCAGCCAAATGACACAGGAACTTGCCTCATTTACAACTTTCCTAAGCTCACCCTATCGAGAACTATCTGTGAGAACTAAGCTTCTGCCACTTTCCAAATGTCACAGAAACAGTACATACCTTCATCCTCATGTCCCTGGCATATTTCTCTAACTCCTTCCTTATCTCTGTCCGCATCATCTTTGACATATTAAGCACCAACTGCTTCCATTCGATGGGCTGAAAACTGTGAGGCTCATGAGGGACATACAATCCAATCTTCACTTTTTTAACAGAGTGTAAGTACTTTTTATAGGAGTCTTCAAATTCAAAGATGAGGTCACTCAGAGTTCGGTAGATTAAGGGCTTGTCCATCAACTCTGACCTTCGGCTCATGCCCAGTGATCCATATCGGCCATTGAAATAAATTCCAAGCACCACATGATGAAAATTGCTCCCTGAGAAGTGGGATTTAAAGCTGATTGGGAATCGTTCCACGGAAGGCTGCCCATTGGTTAAGTATCTGGCAAGGGCCATGTCAAGGCAACAACAAAATAATAGTGTCACTACCTCTGATTTGATGCTCTTTTCCACTGATTCACATTGTTCCTCCCTCTGTTTGTTGTCCAACCAAGAACAGATAAAAAGGTATTTCTAGTGTGGCCATTTGCTTAAAGAAGTCCTTGAAGATATATTTTGAGTGAAATCAAATTCAAGTCCAGTTCAGAAATAACGAATGAAATATCAAGATCTTCAGGTTGCTTCTGGACAGCAAATTAAGCCAGTTACTGGTGATCTGATTATAGTTCTGACCATCACAATGTTTTGTACTTTCATTTAAATTCTAGCAATAATTTCCAAATGTGCCTCTATATTACTTAGCATATGGGAATTTTATTCAAAACTGTCCCTTCCCTAGCAGTATTATCTTAGATTGTTTAATTGAATATGTCAAAGACTGATCCTGGTATCTTCTGCATGTGATGTCTCCACGATCTGCCATGGAGCTGCACCCTTCCAAAATCACTAGATTGTTTCCACTGTAGAGTTGGGAAACCTGTATACTTCCAGAAATAGCTTCACTACAACCATATCATTGGAAATGCTGACTGGAGATACAGTTTCATCCACACCTAGAAAGCCAAAAGTACTTTGTTCTTTTCATTTCTTTTTCTTTCTTTTGAAATATTGCCCTTTTATTAGTTTATAATATAAAATACAAAAATAGAAAAGCAAATAATAGGAAAAATAGGGGAGGAAAAAGGGAAGAGAAAAGTGTAGAAAAGCAGGGAAAAAGAAAGAAAAATTGACTTCCAATTGGCTTTGGTGCAGTTGAATATGATAGTAACATCAAACCTCAACTTTTTAGTTTTACATAATAGTATAAACTAGCCAGTTCTATAACAACAGATCTATCTAATCAGTAAAACCCAAAATCAAAGTTTCCTTTTTTCCCCACCTCAAGCACAAAGTCCAGAAGCAGTTTCCAAGTAGAAAAAAAAAGTAATTGTGTTTTTTTTATTTTATCAAAACAGTAAATTTAGCCATCTCTGCTAACTCCAAAAGCTTTTGCAACCATTCATCCAATATGGGGATTGAAGCACCTTCAATTTTTGTGTATAAAGTAATCTTGCTGACATCAATATATATAATTTCAAAGCTCCAAAAATTTTTCCAATTCTTTTTCCATTAAACCCAAAAGAAAAGTTTCTGGTTTTATTTTTATATTCACTTTAAGAATCTTCTGTATTAGAATATGAATCCTACTCCAATATTTCTTTGCTTTATCACATGGCCAACCACTGATCTCATTTGTGAACTGTTCACCACATCAGATAATTTCAAACGACATAATGCTGGAGAAGACTACAGATAATCTTCATTTAGCTACCATTGATTTGTTGTTGTTTCATATAAGCCATAGCAGATTTAATAATATGTTGACTCCACTCACTGACTCTGATAAATAGTGAGAATGGATCTGGAGCTGATTCCAAACTGTCACAAATGTCCCATATGGAAGTGACCAAATTTGGAAACATATTTGTAATAGTAATATGCAAAACTTTCCCTGATATTCTCTATTGAGGAAGACTAAATGTTTTATTTTATATTTGTTTAAAAGCATACCTGTATGGCAAAAACTCCTACCCAAAATAATTTTAAGCATTTGTTCAACTTTGCTTCTTCGGTGTTGTTCAGAAAATGTATCTATACAGGTAGTCCTTGAGTTACGATCACAATGGAGTCCAAAATTTATGTTGCTAAGTGAAAAATTTATTAAATTTGCCCCATTTTACGATTTTTCCTGCCACAGTTGTTAAGTGAATCATTGCATTTGTTACATCAGTAATATGGTTGTTAATTGAATCTGGATTCAACACTTACTTGTCAGAAGGTCACAAAAGTTGATCACATGACTCCAGGACATTGCAACCATCATAAGTATGGACCACTTACCAAGCATCTGAATTTTTACCATGTGACCATGTGGATGCTGCAACGGTCATAAGTGTGAAAAATGGTCATAATAAGTCACTTTTTTCAGTACCGTTGTAACTTTGAACAGCCACTAAATGTACTGTTGTAAGTTTAGGACTTACCTGTATTTGATTTCTCTAGCTTTCAATTTGAGCAGATAATTTTTTGAGAACAAAAATAATTTTTTGGGTTAATCACACTCCTTAATTGTTCTAGAAGAATCCCAAGTAACACATTTTCCCCTTTTCCTTTCTTTTTCTTTTATTTATCCAATATAGCCAGCACTTAAGTCCAATATTATTTGTTTTGATCAAGTATCCTGCAAGGAATCTCAAATGTACTTTCTTCCCCCACTACCCCTTGAGCTTAATAAAGAAGGGAAGAGTGACTCACCTAATGTTGATGTTGACACAGCAGCCAAGGAAGCTAATTAATTCTATTGTTTCTTTAATTTTAAAAGGTCAGACAAAGAAATTAAAAACAAAAGGATACATCCCTAGGATAACTGCTTCAAGGCATTTGATTGGCAAAGATTCCCTGGTCATTTCTTTTGCTGATTCCATTAGCCTAAAAAGTGATAAAGGAAGAAAAAAACAAGTTAATTTTTTGGAAACAAAACATGGTTTAAACAAATTATTGTATGTCTGAAAATGCTTTTCATATTCTGTAGCCTTGTTTACATATGGAAATTGAATTCTCCTTCCCCATTTATTTAGGAAGAAAGCTTCCTTTCCTATGTTCTGCCCTTGTTCCAGGAGGGGATGATCTTGGGGCAACATTCCAGGGTCCTGTTCATTGGAATGAGTAGAACAGCTTCCAAAGGCAGCAGGGCCAATTTATCACCTTTTACAGGAAATAAAATAATATATTTTACCACTGAAAATTTATGCAATCTTAAATCTGGAATCTAAAATCTAAAATCATTTAAGTTACAATTATGAGGTCAGTGGATAAGTCTGTTCAGACCACTTCCTCTCTCCATTCTTTATTGTAACTTCCCAAATCTTAGAACGTTTCCAGATAAATCTTTTATTTATGTACCCAATCTAAATTGTATAAATTTTATCCATTTATCCCAAATGACAAGAAACTTCTCTTGCGTTTGTTGCTTTAGGAAAGCCGAAATCTTTGCCATTTCCGCCAAATAAGCTACTTTAAGAAACCATTCCTGCAATGTAGGCAAAGACTCCTTCTTCCAGTATTGTCCAACTAACAGCCTCGCGGCTGTAATCAAATTTAACATCAATACAACCTCCTTTGTATCACAATCTGTAACTATACCCAGCAAGAATAATTGCGGAGTAAATTTTACCCTCCTTTTAAAAATTCTCTGGATATTCCACCATATCTTAATCCAAAATGCTTTTATCTCTCTACATGACCACCAAATATGATAATAAGAAGCATCCATATAGCCACATCTCCAACATTTGGGTTGTATGTCAGGGTACATAAGAGACATTTTTTGTGGATCAAGGTGCCATCTATAAAACATTTTATAAAAATTCTCCCTTAAGTTCTGTGCTTGTGTAAATTTGACATTTCTCACCCAGATGGTTTCCCAGATATCCAATGAGACTGGGACACCAAAATTCTGCGCCCATCTAATCATACAGTCTTTAATTAATTCCGATTCTGAATCCATTTCAACTAATACCCCATAGATTCTCTTAATATGGGTTTGTCTTTGATCCTTAACTTGCTTAATAAGATTTTCATCTTCTCTAAGAAAACCCAATTTACAATCCACCTTCCATTTATCTACTAGTTGCCTATATTGGAACCAAGAATAAATAATATTTTCTTGCGCTAAGTCTTCCCGTAATCTTAACTGCCAGTTTTGCCCATCCCATCTAAGTAGCTGACTATAAGACACCATATCCATTCTTACACCTCTTTTTATTCCTTCTATCGCATGCCAAGGTATAGCCCATAATGGAACTTTAAAATCACTTTTATAATATTTTCTCCAAGTCCTAAGTAAAGAGATTCTTAAAATATGAGATTTAAAAACCCAATCCATTTTTTTATTAAATATTAAATAGGCATGCCACCCAAAAAGTAAATCCCATCCCTCTAAATGAAGTATCTCCGGATTTGTCAAATTTACCCAATCACTAATTAGTGTTAAAACCACCGCATCATAATATAATTTCAAATTTGGTACCTTGAGTCCACCCCTCTCACGGAAGTCTTGCATAATTTTAAACTTAACCCTTGGCTTTTTCCCTGCCCAAATAAATTTATTAAGACCCTTCTGCCACTCACTTAAGTTAATCTCATTTTTCAAAATCAGTAACATTTGAAACAGAAAAAGAAACTTGGGTAGAATATTCATTTTTATCACTGCAATTCTTCCCATGAGAGATAATTGCAACTTCTCCCAATTCTTCAAGTCCTTCTGTACCCTGACCCACAACCTTTCATAGTTATTTTTAAATAATTTTACATTAGAAACAGACAGCATCACCCCCAAATATTTTACCTTATTAACAATCTCAAAACCCGTCAAGTTGGCCAAAATCTGCTTCTCCTGACTAGACATATTTTTAGGTAAAATTTTAGTCTTATTTACATTAATCTTGAAACCCGAAACCAAACCATAATGATGAATCAACTGTAATAAGTTTACTACAGAATAATCAGGTTGCGACAAAGTAACAACCAAGTCATCCGCAAAAGCTCTCAACTTATATTCTTTTTTATTAACTTCTATTCCTTTAATTTCCTGAGACTCTCGAATTTTAATCAATAATATTTCCAATGTTAAAACAAACAACAATGGCGATAAAGGGCACCCCTGTCTAGTACCTTTCTCTATTGTAAAAACCTCCGACAAACCTCCATTAACAATAAGTTGTGCCGTTTGTTTTTGATATATTACCGTAAGGGCTTGTAATATCTTTTCGCCAAAATTCATTTCTTCCATTACTCTTAACATAAAATGCCAATTCAATTGATCAAATGCTTTTTCAGCATCTAAAAATATGAGCCCTGCAGGAACTTGGTTGTTCTTGTCTAAATATTCTAATAAATTAATAATTTGTCTAACATTATTTTTCATGTACCTTCCAGTTATAAACCCTGATTGATCTTTATGCACAAGATGATGCACGACCCTCATAAGCCTATTTACCAAAATTTTTGCAAATATCTTATAATCCACATTTAAAAGAGATATAGGCCTGTAATTTTTTGGTAAAGTAAGATCTTGATCCTCCTTTGGAATCAATGATATAAAAGCACTACGCCATGAAGGAGGAATCTCTAAACCCTGTAAGATACCATTAAAAAGATCACTTAATGGTTGGATCATCTCCTCCTTTAGAGCTTTATAATAAACAGCTGTTAACCCATCCGTACCCGGTGCTTTCCCTAGTTTCAATTGTTGAATTGCTGAGGCAATTTCCTCCTTAGTAATTAAGCCATTAATTTCATGTTTCTGATCCTCAGTTAATTTGGGGAAACTTGCCTCAGCTAAATATTTATTTATATCTAGAAGTTGCACGTTAGTAGATTTGTATAACTTTTGATAGTAGTCCAAAAAAGATTTTTTGATCAATTCCTTCTGAAAAACTAGTTTACCCTTGTAATTTATTTTCTCTATTATTCTCTGTCTCTGTTTCTTTCTTAATTGATAAGCCAACCATCTCCCAGGCTTGTTAGCATTACAAAATGTATTTTGTTTCATAAACAATAAGTTAGTTGCAGCTTGATCTGCTATCAACATGTTAAATTGTGACCTTAATAACTTTACAGATTCTTTAATACTTTCATCAGAAGGATTTAAAATCAAGGACCTTTCTTTTGATTTAATTTCATCTTCAAGTTCTCTACGTTTCTGAATCTGGTTCCGCTTATGACAATTATTCATTTTTATCAAAACACCACGCATAAATGCTTTACCTGCATCCCATACCATTGACATTGAGGTCCCCTTATACATATTCAAAACAAAATAATCCTTTAAACACTCCTTTAACTTTTGAACATTCTTCTCTTGTCTGAACAAATTTTCATTAACTCTCCAGGATCTCCTTTCCTCTTTCTCTTGAATCAGCTCCATCCAGACTGGGCTATGATCCGTCAGTGATCTAGGAAAAATCTTTACATTCTTTACTTTATTATACAAATCCGTAGTAATAAAAAAAAAGTCGATTCTTAAAAAAGATTGGTGTCTATCAGAAAAAAAAGTGAAGTCTCTCTCCTCTTGGTTACATTCCCGCCAGTAATCCCTTAATTCCCAGTCTTCCTTCATATCAAAAAAGGCTTTAGGTAACCTTGCTTGTTTAAGAAAGGGAGAGGAACCTTTCTTATCCCTTTGTATATCTAAGACACCATTCCAATCACCCATTAATACCACTGATCTATAGTCAAGCAATGTTATTTTTTGATGTAACAGCTTATAAAATTGTTCCTGTTGCTGATTTGGAGCATAGAGTCCCACTATAAGTACCTTCTTACCATATATACCAAGTTCAATCATCACATATCTCCCCTGGGGATCTGATTCTACCAGACAAGCTGGTAGGTTTTGTTTGACATATATAACAACTCCCCCTTTCTTTCCAGGAGCAAAGGATACAAAATGAGATCCCAAACGAGCATTGACTAGATATTTCTGATCTTTGAGTAAGATATGAGTTTCCTGTAAGCAAATAACGTCATTGGTATGTTGCTTCAAATAATAAAAGATTTTTTTCCGTTTCTGAGGAGAATTCAAGCCATTAACATTCCAGGTCAAAAACTTTGCCATCTCCCTTGGCACGCAGCCTGGAGAAGACACCATCAAAATCTGAAAGTGCTGCATGTGTTGCATAACTCTTGGGTCTTGCTCCTCCCACCGGCGGTGATGCGTTTCCAGAAGAATTCTCTTTAGACTCTTTTTTACATTGCTCCTTCTCTTTACGCTTGTAAGCTGCACGAGTCATTCTCTGCTCTTTGACCTCCATCTGGCGTTGCCTTTCAGCTTGTATCATCCCAGCGGAAACCAAACTTAATGCCTCAGATTGCTGCTCGTCCTCCTTGCCACTCGGAGATTTCTGACCAGATGGAGTTGAGCCTGCACCCAGGACCGAAGTATAAAACTCTCTAGCTTTGTCAACTGTATTCAATCTATAACGTGTCCCCGCATGGCTCAAGACGATACCCATCGGAATTTCCCATCTAAATGGCATCGATCTGACTTTAAGCTCATTGGTTAAGAAAGCAAAATCTTTCCTGCTTCTTAAAATTTTGGATGGGATTTCCTTTAGAATGATAACATCTTGGGCAGCAATCTGGAATCTTTTGTTGTAAAAGGCTTGTATAACCTCATTCCGCAGGGACTTCTTTGTAAAATAAATCACCACATCTCTAGGCAAATTCTTCTGCTTGGCAATCCAAGAATTAAGTCTATACATTTTTTCCACTTCTCTGCTTAATTCTCCTTTATCCATATCCAAGGCCACTGCCAGATCAGTAAGAACCACCTCCACCAAATCTTGATTCATATCTTCCTTGAGGCCTCTAATCCTCAAAGCATACTCCATCTGTCTGTACTGAAACATCAAGATGTCTTCTTGTGA